GCACAAGCAAAGGATGCACAAGCAAAGCAGCGCAAGCAGAGGAAGCACAAGCAAAGGAAGCACAAGCAGAGAAAGCGCAAGCAGAGGAAGCACGAGCAGAGGAATCGCAAGTAGAGGAAGCACAAGCAGAGGAAGCACAGGCAGAGGAAGCACAAGCAGAGGAAACACAAGCAGAGGAAGTGCAAGCAGAGGAAGCACAAGCAGAGAAAGCACAAGCAGAGGAAGCGCAAGCAGAAGAAGCACAAGAAGAGGAAGCACAAGCACAGGAAGCACAATTAGAGGAAGCACAAGCAGAGGAAGCACAAGTAGAGGAAGCACAAGCAGAGAAAGCACAATTAGAGGAAGCACAAGCAGAGGAAGCGCAAGCCAAGGAAGCGTAAGGAGAGGAAGCACAAGCAGAGGAAGCGCAAGTAGAGGAAGCACAAGAAGAGGAAGCGCAAGCGGAGGAAGCACAAGTAGAGGAAGGGCAAGCAGAGGAAGCACAAGCAGAGGAAGCACAAGCAGAGAGCAAGCAGAGGAAGCGCAAGCAGAGGAAACGCAAGCACAGGAAGCACAAGAAGAGGAAGCGCAAGAAGAGGAAGCACAAGCAGAGGAAGAACAAGCAGAGGAAGCAAAAGCAGAGGAAGCACAAGTCGAGGAAGCACAAGAAGAGGAGCCCAATCAAAGGAAGCGCAAGCAGAGGAAGCGCAAGCAGAGGAAGCGCAAGCAGAGGAAGCGCAAGCAAAGGAAGCACAAGCAGAGGAAGCACAAGTAGCGGAAGCACAACTAGAGTAAGCGCAAGCAAAGGAAGCACAAGCAAAGGAAGCAAAAGCAGAGGAGCGCAAGCAGAGGCAGCGCAAGCAGAGGAAGTGCAAGCAGAGGAAGCACAAGCAGAGGAAGCACAAGCACAGGAAGCGCAAGCAGAGGAAGCACAAGCAGAGGAAGCGCAAGCAGAAGAAGCACAAGCAGAGGAAGCACAAGCAGAGGAGCGCAATCAGAGGAAGTGCAAGCATAGGAAGTGCAAGGAGAGGAAGCGCAAGCAGAGGAAGCACAAGTAGAGGAAGCACAAGTAGAGAAAGCACAAGCAGAGGAAGCGCAAGCAAAGGAAGCACAAGCAGAAGAAGCACAAGAAGAGGAAGCACAAGAAGAGGAAGAGCAAGCAGACGAAGCAAAAGCAAGGAAGTACAAGCAGAGGAAGCGCAAGCAGAGGAAGCGCAAGGAGAGGAAGCACAAGCAGAGGAAGCACAAGCAGAGGAGCGCAAGTAGAGGAAGTGCAAGAAGAGGAAGCACAAGCAGAGGAAGCGCAAGCAGAGGAATCACAAGCAAAGGAAGCGCAAGCAGAGGAAGCACAAGAAGAGGAAGCACAAGCAGAGGAGCGCAAGCAGAGGAAGGGTAAGCAGAGGAAGCGCAAGCAGAGAAAGCGCAAGCAGAGGAAGGGTAAGCAGAGGAAGCGCAAGCAGAGGAAGCGCAAGCAGAGGAAGCACAAGCAGAGGAAGCAAAAGCAGAGGAGCACAAGAAGAGGAAGCGCAAGCAGAGGAAGCAAAAGCAGAGGAAGCTTAAGCAAAGGAAGCACAAGCAGACGAAGCACAAGCAGAGGAAGCGCAAGCAGAGGAAGCACAAGCAGAGGAAGCACAAGCAGAGGAGCGCAAGCAGAGGAAGCGTAAGCACAGGAAGCGCAAGGAGAGGAAGCACAAGCAAAGGAAGCACAAGAAGAGGAAGCACAAGAAGAGGAAGAGCAAGCAGACGAAGCACAAGCAAAGGAAGTACAAGTAGAGGAGTGCAAGCAGAGGAAGCGCAAGCAGAGGAAGCGCAAGGAGAGGAAGCACAAGCAGAGGAAGCACAAGCAGAGGAAGCACAAGCAGACGAAGCACAAGCAGAGGAAGCACAAGCAGAGGAAACACAAGCAGAGGAGCGCAAGCAGAGGAAGCGTAAGCACAGGAAGCGCAAGGAGAGGAATCGCAAGGAGAGGAAGCGCAAGTAGAGGAAGCACAAGCAGAGGAAGCACAAGTAGTGGAAGCACAACAAGAGTAAGCGCAAGCAAAGGAAGCACAAGCAGAGGAAGCAAAAGCAGAGGAGCGCAAGCAGAGGAAGCGCAAGCAGAGGAAGTGCAAGCAGAGGAAGCACAAGCAGAGGAAGCACAAGCACAGGAAGCGCAAGCAGAAGAAGCACAAGCAGTGGAAGCACAAGCAGAGGAGCCCAAGCAGAGGAAGCAGAAGCATAGGAAGTGCAAGCAGAGGAAGCACAAGCAGAGGAAACGCAAGCAGAGGAAGCACAAGCAGAGGAAGCACAAGCAGAGGAAGCACAAGCAGAGGAGCGCAAGCAGAGGAAGCGTAAGCACAGGAAGCGCAAGGAGAGGAAGAGCAAGCAGAGGAAGCGCAAGTATAAGAAGCACAAGCAGAGGAAGCACAAGTAGCGGAAGCACAACTAGAGTAAGCGCAAGCAGAGGAAGCACAAGCAGAGGAAGCAAAAGCAGAGGAGCGCAAGCAGAGGAAGCGCAAGCAGAGGAAGTGCAAGCAGAGGAAGCACAAGCAGAGGAAGCACAAGCACAGGAAGCGCAAGCAGAGGAAGCACAAGCAGTGGAAGCACAAGCAGAGGAGCCCAAGCAGAGGAAGCAGAAGCATAGGAAGTGCAAGCAGAGGAAGCACAAGCAGAGGAAGCGCAAGCAGAGGAAGCATAAGCAGAGGAGCGCAAGCAGAGGAAGTGCAAGCACAGGAAGCGCAAGGAGAGGAAGCGCAAGCAGAGGAGCGGAGGCAGAGGAAGTGCAAGCAGAGGAAGCACAAGCGGAGGAAGCGCAAGCACAGGAATCACAAGCCAAGGAAGCGCAAGCAGATGAAGCACAAGCAGAGGAAGCACAAGCAGAGGAGCGCAAGCAGAGGAAGTGTTAGCAGAGGAAGCGCAAGCAGAGGAAGCGCAAGTAGAGGAAGCGTAAGAAGAGGAAGCGCAAGCAGAGGAAGCACAAGCAGAGGAAGCACAAGCAGAGGAAGCACAAGCAGAGGAGCGCAAGCAGAGGAAGCGCAAGCAGAGGAAGCAAAAGCAGAGGAAGCTCAAGCAAAGGAAGCACAAGCAGACGAAGCACAAGCAGAGGAAGCGCAAGCAGAGGAGGCACAAGCAAAGGAAGCACAAGCAAAGGAAGCTCAAGCAGAGAAAGCACAAGAAGAGGAAGCACAAGCAGAGGAAGCGCAAGCAGAGGAAGCACAAGCAAAGGAAGCGCAAGAAGAGGAAGCACAAGCAGAGGAAGCACAAGCAGAGGAGCGCAAGCAGAGGAAGTGTAAGGAGAGAAAGCGGAAGCAGAGGAAGCGCAAGCACAGGAAGCGTAAGCAGAGGAAGCGCAAGCAGAGGAAGTGCAAGCAGAGGAAGCGCAAGCAGACCAAGCACAAGCAGAGGAGCGCAAGTAGAGGAAGCACACAGAGGAAGCAAAAGCACAGGAAGCTCAAGCAAAGGAAGCACAAGCAGAGGAAGAACAAGCAGAGGAAGCACAAGCAGAGGAAGCTCAAGCAGAGGAAGCACAAGAAGAGGAAGCACAAGCAGAGGAACGCAAGCAGAGGAATTGCAAGCACGGGAAGCGCAAGGAGAGGAAGCGCAAGCAGAGGAAGCACAAGTAGAGGAAGCACAAGCAGAGAAAGCACAAGCAGAGGAAGCGCAAGCAGAGGAAGCACAAGAAGAGGAAGCGCAAGCAGAGGAAGCACAAGCAAAGGAAGCACAAGAAGAGGAAGCACAAGAAGAGGAAGAGCAAGCAGACGTAGCACAAGCAGAGGAAGCACAAGCAGAGGAGTGCAAGCAGAGGAAGCGCAAGCAGAGGAAGCGCAAGGAGAGGAAGCACAAGCAGAGGAAGCACAAGCAGAGGAGCGCAAGCAGAGGAAGTGCAAGCAGAGGAAGTACAAGCAGAGGAAGTGCAAGCAGAGGAATCACAAGCAAAGGAAGCGCAAGCAGAGGAAGCACAAGCAGAGGAAGCACAAGCAGAGGAGCGCAAGCAGAGGAAGTGTAAGCAGAGGAAGCGCAAGCAGAGGAAGCGCAAGTAGAGGAAGCGTAAGCAGAGGAAGCGCAAGCAGAGGAAGCACAAGCAGAGGAAGCACAAGCACAGGAAGCGCAAGCAGGGAAGCACAAGCAGTGGAAGCACAAGCAGAGGAGCCCAAGCAGAGGAAGCAGAAGCATAGGAAGTGCAAGCAGAGGAAGCACAAGCAGAGGAAGCGCAAGCAGAGGAAGCATAAGCAGAGGAGCGCAAGCAGAGGAAGTGCAAGCACAGGAAGCGCAAGGAGAGGAAGCGCAAGCAGAGGAGCGGAGGCAGAGGAAGTGCAAGCAGAGGAAGCACAAGCGGAGGAAGCGCAAGCACAGGAATCACAAGCCAAGGAAGCGCAAGCAGATGAAGCACAAGCAGAGGAAGCACAACCAGAGGAGCGCAAGCAGAGGAAGTGTTAGCAGAGGAAGCGCAAGCAGAGGAAGCGCAAGTAGAGGAAGCGTAAGAAGAGGAAGCGCAAGCAGAGGAAGCACAAGCAGAGGAAGCACAAGCAGAGGAAGCACAAGCAGAGGAGCGCAAGCAGAGGAAGCGCAAGCAGAGGAAGCAAAAGCAGAGGAAGCTCAAGCAAAGGAAGCACAAGCAGACGAAGCACAAGCAGAGGAAGCGCAAGCAGAGGAGGCACAAGCAAAGGAAGCACAAGCAAAGGAAGCTCAAGCAGAGAAAGCACAAGAAGAGGAAGCACAAGCAGAGGAAGCGCAAGCAGAGGAAGCACAAGCAAAGGAAGCGCAAGAAGAGGAAGCACAAGCAGAGGAAGCACAAGCAGAGGAGCGCAAGCAGAGGAAGTGTAAGGAGAGAAAGCGGAAGCAGAGGAAGCGCAAGCACAGGAAGCGTAAGCAGAGGAAGCGCAAGCAGAGGAAGTGCAAGCAGAGGAAGCGCAAGCAGACCAAGCACAAGCAGAGGAGCGCAAGTAGAGGAAGCACACAGAGGAAGCAAAAGCACAGGAAGCTCAAGCAAAGGAAGCACAAGCAGAGGAAGAACAAGCAGAGGAAGCACAAGCAGAGGAAGCTCAAGCAGAGGAAGCACAAGAAGAGGAAGCACAAGCAGAGGAACGCAAGCAGAGGAATTGCAAGCACGGGAAGCGCAAGGAGAGGAAGCGCAAGCAGAGGAAGCACAAGTAGAGGAAGCACAAGCAGAGAAAGCACAAGCAGAGGAAGCGCAAGCAGAGGAAGCACAAGAAGAGGAAGCGCAAGCAGAGGAAGCACAAGCAAAGGAAGCACAAGAAGAGGAAGCACAAGAAGAGGAAGAGCAAGCAGACGAAGCACAAGCAGAGGAAGCACAAGCAGAGGAGTGCAAGCAGAGGAAGCGCAAGCAGAGGAAGCGCAAGGAGAGGAAGCACAAGCAGAGGAAGCACAAGCAGAGGAGCGCAAGCAGAGGAAGTGCAAGCAGAGGAAGTACAAGCAGAGGAAGTGCAAGCAGAGGAATCACAAGCAAAGGAAGCGCAAGCAGAGGAAGCACAAGCAGAGGAAGCACAAGCAGAGGAGCGCAAGCAGAGGAAGTGTAAGCAGAGGAAGCGCAAGCAGAGGAAGCGCAAGTAGAGGAAGCGTAAGCAGAGGAAGCGCAAGCAGAGGAAGCACAAGCAGAGGAAGCACAAGCACAGGAAGCGCAAGCAGGGAAGCACAAGCAGTGGAAGCACAAGCAGAGGAGCCCAAGCAGAGGAAGCAGAAGCATAGGAAGTGCAAGCAGAGGAAGCACAAGCAGAGGAAGCGCAAGCAGAGGAAGCATAAGCAGAGGAGCGCAAGCAGAGGAAGTGCAAGCACAGGAAGCGCAAGGAGAGGAAGCGCAAGCAGAGGAGCGGAGGCAGAGGAAGTGCAAGCAGAGGAAGCACAAGCGGAGGAAGCGCAAGCACAGGAATCACAAGCCAAGGAAGCGCAAGCAGAGGAAGCACAAGCAGAGGAAGCACAAGCAGAGGAGCGCAAGCAGAGGAAGTGTTAGCAGAGGAAGCGCAAGCAGAGGAAGCGCAAGTAGAGGAAGCGTAAGAAGAGGAAGCGCAAGCAGAGGAAGCGCAAGCAGAGGAAGCACAAGCAGAGGAAGCACAAGCAGAGGAGCGCAAGCAGAGGAAGCGCAAGCAGAGGAAGCAAAAGCAGAGGAAGCTCAAGCAAAGGAAGCACAAGCAGACGAAGCACAAGCAGAGGAAGCGCAAGCAGAGGAGGCACAAGCAAAGGAAGCACAAGCAAAGGAAGCTCAAGCAGAGAAAGCACAAGAAGAGGAAGCACAAGCAGAGGAAGCGCAAGCAGAGGAAGCACAAGCAAAGGAAGCGCAAGAAGAGGAAGCACAAGCAGAGGAAGCACAAGCAGAGGAGCGCAAGCAGAGGAAGTGTAAGGAGAGAAAGCGGAAGCAGAGGAAGCGCAAGCACAGGAAGCGTAAGCAGAGGAAGCGCAAGCAGAGGAAGTGCAAGCAGAGGAAGCGCAAGCAGACCAAGCACAAGCAGAGGAGCGCAAGTAGAGGAAGCGCAAGCAGAGGAAGCAAAAGCACAGGAAGCTCAAGCAAAGGAAGCACAAGCAGAGGAAGAACAAGCAGAGGAAGCACAAGCAGAGGAAGCTCAAGCAGAGGAAGCACAAGAAGAGGAAGCACAAGCAGAGGAACGCAAGCAGAGGAATTGCAAGCACGGGAAGCGCAAGGAGAGGAAGCGCAAGCAGAGGAAGCACAAGTAGAGGAAGCACAAGCAGAGAAAGCACAAGCAGAGGAAGCGCAAGCAGAGGAAGCACAAGAAGAGGAAGCGCAAGCAGAGGAAGCACAAGTTAAGGAAGCACAAGAAGAGGAAGCACAAGAAGAGGAAGAGCAAGCAGACGAAGCACAAGCAGAGGAAGCACAAGCAGAGGAGTGCAAGCAGAGGAAGCGCAAGCAGAGGAAGCGCAAGGAGAGGAAGCACAAGCAGAGGAAGCACAAGCAGAGGAGCGCAAGCAGAGGAAGTGCAAGCAGAGGAAGTACAAGCAGAGGAAGTGCAAGCAGAGGAATCACAAGCAAAGGAAGCGCAAGCAGAGGAAGCACAAGCAGAGGAAGCACAAGCAGAGGAGCGCAAGCAGAGGAAGTGTAAGCAGAGGAAGCGCAAGCAGAGGAAGCGCAAGTAGAGGAAGCGTAAGCAGAGGAAGCGCAAGCAGAGGAAGCACAAGCAGAGGAAGCACAAGCACAGGAAGCGCAAGCAGAGGAAGCACAAGCATTGGAAGCACAAGCAGAGGAGCCCAAGCAGAGGAAGCAGAAGCATAGGAAGTGCAAGCAGAGGAAGCACAAGCAGAGGAAGCGCAAGCAGAGGAAGCATAAGCAGAGGAGCGCAAGCAGAGGAAGTGCAAGCACACGAAGCGCAAGGAGAGGAAGCGCAAGCAGAGGAGCGGAGGCAGAGGAAGTGCAAGCAGAGGAAGCACAAGCGGAGGAAGCGCAAGCACAGGAATCACAAGCCAAGGAAGCGCAAGCAGAGGAAGCACAAGCAGAGGAAGCACAAGCAGAGGAGCGCAAGCAGAGGAAGTGTTAGCAGAGGAAGCGCAAGCAGAGGAAGCGCAAGTAGAGGAAGCGTAAGAAGAGGAAGCGCAAGCAGAGGAAGCGCAAGCAGAGGAAGCACAAGCAGAGGAAGCACAAGCAGAGGAGCGCAAGCAGAGGAAGCGCAAGCAGAGGAAGCAAAAGCAGAGGAAGCTCAAGCAAAGGAAGCACAAGCAGACGAAGCACAAGCAGAGGAAGCGCAAGCAGAGGAGGCACAAGCAAAGGAAGCACAAGCAAAGGAAGCTCAAGCAGAGAAAGCACAAGAAGAGGAAGCACAAGCAGAGGAAGCGCAAGCAGAGGAAGCACAAGCAAAGGAAGCGCAAGAAGAGGAAGCACAAGCAGAGGAAGCACAAGCAGAGGAGCGCAAGCAGAGGTAGTGTAAGGAGAGAAAGCGGAAGCAGAGGAAGCGCAAGCACAGGAAGCGTAAGCAGAGGAAGCGCAAGCAGAGGAAGTGCAAGCAGAGGAAGCGCAAGCAGACCAAGCACAAGCAGAGGAGCGCAAGTAGAGGAAGCGCAAGCAGAGGAAGCAAAAGCACAGGAAGCTCAAGCAAAGGAAGCACAAGCAGAGGAAGAACAAGCAGAGGAAGCACAAGCAGAGGAAGCTCAAGCAGAGGAAGCACAAGAAGAGGAAGCACAAGCAGAGGAACGCAAGCAGAGGAATTGCAAGCACGGGAAGCGCAAGGAGAGGAAGCGCAAGCAGAGGAAGCACAAGTAGAGGAAGCACAAGCAGAGAAAGCACAAGCAGAGGAAGCGCAAGCAGAGGAAGCACAAGAAGAGGAAGCGCAAGCAGAGGAAGCACAAGCAAAGGAAGCACAAGAAGAGGAAGCACAAGAAGAGGAAGAGCAAGCAGACGAAGCACAAGCAGAGGAAGCACAAGCAGAGGAGTGCAAGCAGAGGAAGCGCAAGCAGAGGAAGCGCAAGGAGAGGAAGCACAAGCAGAGGAAGCACAAGCAGAGGAGCGCAAGCAGAGGAAGTGCAAGCAGAGGAAGTACAAGCAGAGGAAGTGCAAGCAGAGGAATCACAAGCAAAGGAAGCGCAAGCAGAGGAAGCACAAGCAGAGGAAGCACAAGCAGAGGAGCGCAAGCAGAGGAAGTGTAAGCAGAGGAAGCGCAAGCAGAGGAAGCGCAAGTAGAGGAAGCGTAAGCAGAGGAAGCGCAAGCAGAGGAAGCACAAGCAGAGGAAACACAAGCAGAGGAGCGCAAGCAGAGGAAGCGCAAGCAGAGGAAGCAAAAGCAGAGGAAGCTCAAGCAAAGGAAGCACAAGCAAACTAAGCGCAAGCAGAGGAGGCACAAGCAGAGGAGCGCAAGAAGAGGAAGTGCAAGCACAGAAAGCGCAAGGAGAGGAAGCGCAAGCAGAGGAAGCACAAGTAGAGGAAGCACAAGCAGAGAAAGCACAAGTAGAGGAAGCGCAAGCAGAGGAAGCACAAGCAGAGGAGCGCAAGCAGAGGAAGTGCAAGCACAGGAAGCCCAAGGAGAGGAAGCGCAAGCAGAGGAAGCACAAGTAGAGGAAGCACAAGCAGAGAAAGCACAAGCAGAGCAAGCGCAAGCAGAGGAAGCACAAGCAGAGGAAGCGCAAGCAGAGGAAGTACAAGCAAAGGAAGCACAAGAAGAGGAAGCACAAGAAGAGGAAGAGCAAGCAGACGAAGCACAAGCAGAGGAAGCACAGGCAGAGGAGTGCAAGCAGAGGAAGCACAAGCAGAGGAAGCGCAACGAGAGGAAGCACAAGCAGAGGAAGCACAAGCAGAGGAGCGCAAGCAGAGGAAGTGCAAGCAGAGGAAGCACAAGAAGAGGAAGCGCAAGCAGAGGAATCACAAGCAAAGGAAGCCCAAGCAGAGGAAGCACAAGCAGAGGAAGCACAAGCACTGGAGCGCAAGCAGAGGAAGTGTAAGCAGAGGAAGCGCAAGCAGAGGAAGCGCAAGTAGAGGAAGCGTAAGCAGAGGAAGCGCAAGCAGAGGAAGCGCAAGCAGAGGAAGTGTAAGCAGAGAAAGCGGAAGCAGAGGAAGCGCAAGCACAGGAAGCGTAAGTAGAGGAAGCGCAAGCAGAGGAAGTGCAAGAAGAGGAAGCACAAGCAGACGAAGCACAAGCAGAGGAGCTCAAGCAGAGGAAGCGCAAGCAGAGGAAGCAAAAGCACAGGAAGCTCAAGCAAAGGAAGCACAGGCAGAGGAAGAACAAGCAGAGGAAGCACAAGCAGAGGAAGCTCAAGCAGAGGAAGCACAAGAAGAGGAAGCACAAGCAGAGGAGCGCAAGCAGAGGAAGTGCAAGCACGGGAAGCGCAAGGAGAGGAAGTGCAAGCAGAGGAAGCACAAGTAGAGGAAGCACAAGCAGAGAAAGCACAAGCAGAGGAAGCGCAAGCAGAGGAAGCACAAGAAGAGGAAGCGCAAGCAGAGGAAGCACAAGCAAAGGAAGCACAAGAAGAGGAAGCACAAGAAGAGGAAGAGCAAGCAGACGAAGCACAAGCAGAGGAAGCACAAGCAGAGGAGTGCAAGCAGAGGAAGCGCAAGCAGAGGAAGCGCAAGGAGAGGAAGCACAAGCAGAGGAAGCACAAGCAGAGGAGCGCAAGTAGAGGAAGTGCAAGCAGAGGAAGTACAAGCAGAGGAAGTGCAAGCAGAGGAATCACAAGCAAAGGATGCGCAAGCAGAGGAAGCACAAGTAGAGGAAGCACAAGCAGAGGAGCGCAAGCAGAGGAAGTGTAAGCAGAGGAAGCGCAAGCAGAGGAAGCGCAAGTGGAGGAAGCGTAAGGAGAGGAAGCGCAAGCAGAGGAAGCGCAAGCAGAGGAAGCACAAGCAGAGGAAGCACAAGCAGAGGAGCGCAAGCAGAGGAAGCGCAAGCAGAGGAAGCAAAAGCAGAGGAAGCTCAAGCAAAGGAAGCACAAGCAGACTAAGCGCAAGCAGAGGAGGCACAAGCAGAGGAGCGCAAGCAGAGGAAGTGCAAGCACAGGAAGCGCAAGGAGAGGAAGCGCAAGCAGAGGAAGCACAAGTAGAGGAAGCACAAGCAGAGAAAGCACAAGCAAAGGAAGCGCAAGCAGAGGAAGCACAAGCAGAGGAGCGCAAGCAGAGGAAGTGCAAGCACAGGAAGCGCAAGGAGAGGAAGCGCAAGCAGAGGAAGCACAAGTAGAGGAAGCACAAGCAGAGAAAGCACAAGCAGAGCAAGCGCAAGCAGAGGAAGCACAAGCAGAGGAAGCGCAAGCAGAGGAAGCACAAGCAAAGGAAGCACAAGAAGAGGAAGCACAAGAAGAGGAAGAGCAAGCAGAGGAAGCGCAAGCAGAGGAAGCGCAAGTAGAGGAAGCGTAAGCAGAGGAAGCGCAAGAAGAGGAAGCGCAAGCAGAGGAAGCACAAGCAGAGGAAGCACAAGCAGAGGAGCGCAAGCAGAGGAAGCGCAAGCGGAGGAAGCAAAAGTAGAGGAAGCTCAAGCAAAGGAAGCACAAGCAGACGAAGCAAAAGCAGAGGAAGCGCAAGCAGAGGAGGAACAAGCAAAGGAAGCACAAGCAAAGGAAGCTCAAGCAGAGGAAGCACAAGAAGAGGAAGCACAAGCAGAGGAAGCGCAAGCAGAGGAAGCAGAAGCAAAGGAAGCGCAATAAGAGGAAGCACAAGCAGAAATAGCGCAAGCAGACGAAGCACAAGCAGAGGAAGCACAAGCAGAGGAGCGCAAGCAGAGGAAGCGCAAGCAGAGGAAGCGCAAGGAGAGGAAGCACAAGCAGAGGAAGCACAAGTAGAGGAGCGCAAGCAGTTGAAGTGCAAGCAAAGGAAGCATAAGCAGAGGAAGCGCAAGCAGAGGAATCACAAGCAAAGGAAGCGCAAGCAGAGGAAGCACAAGCAGAGGAAGCACAAGCAAAGGAGCGCAAGCAAAGGAAGTGTAAGCAGAGAAAGCGCAAGCAGAGGAAGCGCAAGCATAGGAAGCGTAAGCAGAGGAAGCGCAAGCAGAGGAAGTGCAAGCAGAGGAAGCGCAAGCAGACGAAGCACAAGCAGAGGAGCGCAAGCAAAGGAAGCGCAAGCAGAGGAAGCAAAAGCACAGGAAGCTCAAGCAAAGGAAGCACAAGCAGAGGAAGCACAAGCAAAGGAAGCACAAGCAGAGTAAGCTCAAGCAGAGGAAGCACAAGAAGAGGAAGCACAAGCAGAGGAAGCGCAAGCCGAGGAAGCACAAGCAAAGGAAGCGCAAGAAGAGGAAGCACAAGCAGAGGAAGCGCAAGCAGACGAAGCACAAGCAGAGGAAGCACAAGCAGAGGAGCGCAAGCAAAGGAAGCGCAAGCAGAGGAAGCGCAAGCAGAGGAAGCACAAGCAGAGGAATCACAAGCAAAGGAAGCACAAGCAGAGTAAGCTCAAGCAGAGGAAGCACAAGAAGAGGAAGCACAAGCAGAGGAAGCGCAAGCCGAGGAAGCACAAGCAAAGGAAGCGCAGGAAGAGGAAGCACAAGCAGAGGAAGCGCAAGCAGACGAAGCACAAGCAGAGGAAGCACAAGCAGAGGAGCGCAAGCAAAGGAAGCGCAAGCAGAGGAAGCGCAAGCAGAGGAAGCACAAGCAGAGGAGCGCAAGCAGAGGAAGTGCAAGCAAAGGAAGCGCAAGCAGAGGAATCACAAGCAAAGGAAGCGCAAGCAGAGGAAGCACAGGCAGAGGAAGCACAAGCAGAGGAGCGCAAGCAGAGGAAGTGTAAGCAGAGAAAGCGCAAGCAGAGGAAGCGCAAGCACAGGAAGCGTAAGCAGAGGAAGCGCAAGCAGAGGAAGCGCAAGCAGAGGAAGCGAAAGCAGACGAAGCACAAGCAGAGGAGCGCAAGCAGAGGAAGCGCAAGCAGAGGAAGCAAAAGCAGAGGAAGCTCAAGCAAAGAAAGCACAAGCAGAGGAAGCACAAGTAGAGGAAGCGCAAGCAGAAGAAGCACAAGCAGAGGAAGCTCAAGCAGAGGAAGCACAAGAAGAGGAAGCACAAGCAGAGGAAGCGCAAGCAGAGGAAGCGCAAGCAAAGGAAGCACAAGCAGAGGAGGCACAAGCAGAGGAGCACAAGCAGAGAAAGCTCAAGCAGAGGAAGCATAAGGAGAGGAAGCGCAAGTAGAGGAAGCACATGCAGAGGAAGCAAAGGCAGAGGAAGCAAAAGCACAGGAAGCACAAGCAGAGGAGCGCAAGCAGAGGAAGTGTAAGCAGAGGAAGTGTTTGCGCTTCCTCTGCTTGCGCTTCCTCTGCTTGCGCTTCCTCTGCTTGCTCTTCCTCTGCTTGGGCTCCTCTGCTTGTGCTTCCTCTGCTTATGCTTCCTCTGCTTGCGCTTCCTCTACTTGTGCTTCCTCTCCTTGTGCTTCCTCTACTTGCGCATCTTCTGCTTGTGCTTCCTCTGCATTCGCTTCCTCTGCTTGCGCTTCCTCTGCCTGTGCTTCCTCTGCTTGCGCTTCCTCTGCTTGTGCTTCCTCTGCTTGTGCTTCCTCTGCTTGCGCTTCCTCTGCTTGCGCTTCCTCTGATTGTGCTTCCTCTGAGTGCGCTTCCTCTTCTTGTGCTTCCTCTTCTTGTGCTTCTTCTGCTTGTGCTTCCTCTACTTGCGCTTCCTCTCCTTGTGCTTCCTCTGCTTGCGTTTCCTCTGCTTGCCCTTCCTCTGCTTGCGCTTCTCTGCTTGTGCTTCCTCTGCTTGTGCTTCCTGTGCTTGCGCTTCTTCTGCTTAGGCTTCCCAGATTGCACTTCCTCTGCTTGCGCTTCCTCTGCTTGCGCTTCCTCTGCTTAAGCTCCTCTGCTTGTGCTTCCTCTACTTGCGCATCCTCTGCTTGTGCTTCCTCTGCTTGCGCTTCCTCTGCTTGCGCTTCCTCTGCTTGTGCTTCCTCTGCTTGCGCTTCCTCTGCTTGTGCTTCCTCTGCTTGTGCTTCCTCTGCTTGCGCTTCCTCTGCTTGCGCTTCCTCTGATTGTGCTTCCTCTGAGTGCGCTTCCTCTTCTTGTGCTTCCTCTGCTTGCGCTTCTTCTGCTTGTGCTTTCATTGCTTATGCTTCCTCCGCATGCGCTTCCTCTTCTTGTGCTTCTTCTGCTTGTGCTTCCTCTACTTGCGCTTCCTCTTTTTGTGCTTCCTCTGCTTGCGTTTCCTCTGCTTGCGCTTCCTCTGCTTGCGCTTCTCTGCTTGTGCTTCCTCTTCTTGTGCTTCCTGTGCTTGCGCTTCCTCTGCTTAGGCTTCCTCTGCTTGCGCTTCCTCTTCTTGCGCTTCCTCTACTTACGCTTCCTCTGCTTGTGCTTCCTCTCCTTATGCTTCCTCTGCTTGCGCTTCCTCTGCTTGTGCTTCCTTTGCTTGTGCTTCCTCTAATTGTGCTTCCTCTGCTTGTGCTTCCTCTGCATGTGCTTCCTCTGCTTGCGCTTCTTCTGCTTGTGCTTCCTCTGCCTGTGCTTCCTCTGCTTGTGCTTCCTCTGCTTGCGATTCGTCTGCTTGTGCTTCCTCTGCTTGCGCTTCCTCTGCTTGCGCTTCCTCTACTTGTGCTTCCTCTGCTTGTGCTTCCTCTGCTTGCACTTTCTCTGCTTGTGCTTCCTCTGCTTGCGCTTCCTCTGCTTGTGCTTCCTCTACTTGGGCTCTTGTGCTTGTGCTTCCACTGCTTGTGCTTCCTCTGCTTGCGCTTCCTGTGCTTGTGCTTCCTCTGCTTCTGCTTCCTCTGCTTGCACTTCCTCTGCTTGTGCTTCCTCTGCTTGCGCTCCTCTGCTTGTGCTTCCTCTACTTGTGCTTCCTCTGTTTGCGCTTCCTCTAGTTGTGCTTCCGCTGCTTGTGCTTCCTCTGCTTGTGCTTTCTCTGCTTGCTCTTCCTTTGCTTGCGCTTCCTCTACTTGCGCTTCCTCTGCTTGGGCTCCTCTGCTTGTGCTTCCTCTGCTTGTGCTTCCTCTGCTTGCGCTTCTTCTGCTTGTGCTTCCTCTGCTTGTGCTTCCTCTGCTTGCGCTTCCTCTGCTTGCGCTTCCTCTGCTTGCGCTTCCTCTGCTTGCGCTTCCTCTGCTTGTTCTTCCTCTGCTTGCGCTTCCTCTGCTTGCACTTCCTCTGCTTGTGCTCCTCTGCTTGCGCTTCCTCTGCTTGCGCTTCCTATGCTTGCGCTTCCTCTTCTTGCGCTTCCTCTGCTTACGCTTCCTTTGCTTGTGCTTCCTCCGCTTGCTCTTCCTTTGCTTACGCTTCCTCTGCTTGCGCTCCTCTGCTTGTGCTTTCTCTGCTTGTGCTTCCTCTGCTTGCGCTTCCTCTGCTTGTGCTTCCTCTGCTTATGCTCCTCTGCTTGCGCTTCCTCTGCTTGCGCTTCCTATGCTTGCGCTTCCTCTTCTTGCGCTTCCTCTGCTTACGCTTCCTCTGCTTGTGCTTCCTCTGCTTGCTCTTCCTTTGCTTACGCTTCCTCTGCTTGCGCTCCTCTGCTTGTGCTTGATCTGCTTGTGCTTCCTCTGCTTGCGCTTCCTCTGCTTGTGCTTCCTCTGCTTGTGCTTTCTCTGCTTGCTCTTCCTCTGCTTGCGCTTCCTCTGCAGGCGCTTCCTCTACTTCGGCTCCTCTGCTTGTGCTTCCTGTGCTTGTGCTTCCTCTGCTTGCGCTTCCTTTGCTTGTGCTTCCTCTGCTTGTGCTTCCTCTGCTTGCGCTTCCTCTGCTTGCGCTTCCTTTGCTTGCGCTTCCTCTGCTTGCGCTTCCTCTGCTTGTTCTTCCTCTGCTTGCGCTTCCTCTGCTTGCACTTCCTCTGCTTGTGCTCCTCTGCTTGCGCTTCCTCTGCTTGCGCTTCCTATGCTTGCGCTTCCTCTTCTTGCGCTTCCTCTGCTTACGCTTCCTCTGCTTGTGCTTCCTCTGCTTGCTCTTCCTTTGCGTACGCTTCCTCTGCTTGCGCTCCTGTGCTTGTGCTTTCTCTGCTTGTGCTTCCTCTGCTTGCGCTTCCTCTGCTTGTGCTTCCTCTGCTTGCGCTTCCTCTGCTTGTGCTTCCTTTGCTTGCGCTTCCTCTGCTTGCGCTCCTCTGCTTGTGCTTCCTCTGCTTGCGCTTCCTCTGCTTGCGCTCCTCTGCTTGTGCTTCCTCTGCTTGCGATTCCTCTACTTGTGCTTCTCTGCTTGCGCTTCCTCTGCTTGTGCTTCCTCTGCTTGCGCTTCCTCTGCTTGCGCTTCCTCTGCTTGCGCTTCCTCTGATTGCGCTTCCTCTGCTTGCGCTTTCTCTGCTTATGCTTCCTCTGCTTATGCTTCCTCAGCTTGTGCTTCCTCTGCTTGCGCTTCCTCTGCTTGTGCTTCCTCTGCTTACGCTTCCTCTGCTTGCGCTTCCTGTGCTTGCGCTTTCTCTGCTTGGGCTCCTTTGCTTGTGCTTCCTCTGCTTGTGCTTCCTCTGCTTGCGCTTTCTCTGCTTGTGCTTCATGTGCTTGTGCTTCCTCTGCTTGCGCTTCCTCTGCGTTTGCTTCCTCTGCTTGGGCTTCCTCTGCTTGCGCTTCTTCTGCTTGTGGTTCCTCTGCTTGTGCTTCCTCTGCTTGTGCTTCCTCTACTTGCACTTCCTCTGCTTGTGCTCTTTGGTTGTGCTTCCTCTACTTGTGCTTCCTCTGCTTGCGCTTCCTCTAGTTGTGCTTCCGCTGCTTGTGCTTCCTCTGCTTGTGCTTTCTCTGCTTGCTCTTCCTCTGCTTGCGCTTCCTCTGCTTGCGCTTCCTCTGCTTGGGCTCCTCTGCTTGTGCTTCCTCTGCTTATGCTTCCTCTGCTTGCGCTTCCTCTGCTTGTGCTTCCTCTGCTTGTGCTTCCTCTGCTTGCGCTTCCTCTGCTTGCGCTTCCTCTGCTTGCGCTTCCTCTGCTTGCGCTTCCTCTGCTTGTTCTTCCTCTGCTTGCGCTTCCTCTGCTTGCACTTCCTCTGCTTGTGCTCCTCTGCTTGCGCTTCCTCTGCTTGCGCTTCCTATGCTTGCGCTTCCTCTTCTTGCGCTTCCTCTGCTTACGCTTCCTCTGCTTGTGCTTCCTCTGCTTGCTCTTCCTTTGCTTACGCTTCCTCTGCTTGCGCTCCTCTGCTTGCGCTTACTCTGCTTGTGCTTCCTCTACTTGCGCTTCCTCTGCTTGTGCTTCCTTTGCTTGCGCTTCCTCTGCTTGCGCTCCTCTTCTTGTGCTTCCTCTGCTTGCGCTTCCTCTGCTTGCGCTCCTCTGCTTGTGCTTCCTCTGCTTGCGCTTCCTCTGCTTGTGCTTCTCTGCTTGCGCTTCCTCTGCTTGTGCTTCCTCTCCTTGCGCTTCCTCTGCTTGCGCTTCCTCTACTTGCGCTTCCTCTGATTGCGCTTCCTCTGCTTGCGCTTTCTCTGCTAATGCTTCCTCTGCTTATGCTTCCTCAGCTTGTGCTTCCTCTGCTTGCGCTTCCTCTGCTTGTGCTTCCTCTGCTTACGCTTCCTCTGCTTGCTCTTCCTGTGCTTGCGCTTCCTCTGCTTGCGCTTCCTCTGCTTGCGCTTCCTCTGCTTGCGCTTCCTCTGCTTGCGCTGCCTCTGCTTGCGCTTCCTCTGCTTGCGCTTTCTCTCCTTGGGCTCCTTTGCTTCTGCTTCCTCTGCTTGTGCTTCCTTTGCTTGCGCTTTCTCTGCTTGTGCTTCCTCTGCTTGTGCTTCCTCTGCTTGCGCTTCCTCTGCTTTTGCTTCCTTTGCTTGCGCTTCCTCTGCTTGCGCTTCTTCTGCTTGTGGTTCCTCTACTTGTGCTTCCTCTGCTTGTGCTTCCTCTACTTGCGCTTCCTCTGCTTGCGCTTCCTCTGCTTATGCTCTTTGGTTGTGCTTCCTCTGCTTGTGCTTCCTCTTCTTGTGCTTCCTCTGCTTGCGCTTCCTATGCTTGTGCTTCCTCTGCTTGTGCTTCCTCTACTTGGGCTCCTCTGCTTTTGCTTCCTCTGCTTGTGCTTCCTCTGCTTGTGCTTCCTCTGCTTGCGCTTCCTCTGCTTACGCTTCCTCTGCTTGCGCTTCCTCTGCTTGCGCTTCCTCTGCTTGCGCTACCTCTGCTTGTGCTTCCTCAGCTTGATCTTCCTCTGCTTGCGCTTCCTCTGCTTGTGCTTCCTCTGCTTGGGCTCCTCTGCTTGTGCTTCCTCTGCTTGTGCTTCCTCTGCTTGTGCTTCCTCTGCTTGTGCTTCCTCTGCTTGTGCTTCCTCTGCTTGCGCTTCCTCTGCTTGCGCTTCCTCTGCTTGCGCTTCCTCTGCTTGCGCTTCCACTGCTTGTTCTTCCTCTGCTTGCGCTTCCTCTGCTTGCACTTCATCTGCTTGTGCTCCTCTTCTTGCACTTCCTCTGCTTGCGCTTCCTATGCTTGCGCTTCCTCTTCTTGCGCTTCCTCTGCTTACGCTTCCTCTGCTTGTGCTTCCTCTGCTTGCTCTTCCTTTGCTTACGCTTCCTCTGCTTGCGCTCCTCTGCTTGTGCTTCCTCTGCTTGTGCTTCCTCTGCTTGCGCTTCCTCTGCTTGTGCTTCCTCTGCTTGTGCTTCCTCTGCTTGTGCTTCCTTTGCTTGCGCTTCCTCTGCTTGCGCTCCTCTGCTTGACCTTCCTCTGCTTACGCTTCCTCTGCTTGCGCTCCTCTGCTTGTGCTTCCTCTGCTTGCGCTTCCTCTGCTTGTGCTTCCTCTGCTTGCGCTTCCTCTGCTTGTGCTTCCTCTGCTTGTGCTTCCTCTACTTGCGCTCCTCTGCTGGTGCTTCCTCTGCTTGCGATTCCTCTGCTTGCGCTTCCTCTGCTTGCTCTTCCTCTACTTGTGCTTCCTCTGCTTGTGCTTCCTCTGCTTGCGCTTCCTCTACTTGCGCTTCCTCTGTCAGAATATTATCTTATTGTTCTAGCCTGTAGTGGGGTGCTCTATAGCGAGTACAACCCTTCTAGGGTTTGCTATTTGTATCCTCATTCTTTCTAGTTCAATCCTCTTTCTTTCTTCTAATTTTGACATCCTCTGCTTGCGCTTCCTCTGCTTGCGCTTCCTCTGCTTGTGCTCCTCTGCTTGCGCTTCCTCTGCTTGTGCTTCCTCTGCTTGCGCTTCCTCTGCTTGCGCTTCCTCTCCTTGCGCTTCCTCTGCTTGCGCTTCCTCTACTTGCGCTCCTCTGCTTGTGCTTCTTCTGCTTGTGCTTCCTGCTTGTGCTTCCTGCTTGCGCTTCCTCTGCTTGTGCTTCCTCTACTTGCGCTTCCTCTGCTTGTGCTTCCTCTGCTTGTGCTTCCTCTGCTTGCGCTTCCTCTGCTTGTGCTTCCTCTGCTTGCGCTTCCTCTAATTGTGCTTCCTCTGCTTGCGCTTCCTCTGCTTGCGCTTCCTCTGCTTGTGCTCCTCTGCTTGCGCTTCCTCTGCTTGTGCTTCCTCTGCTTGCGCTTCCTCTGCTTGCGCTTCCTCTCCTTGCGCTTCCTCTGCTTGCGCTTCCTCTGCTTGCACTCCTCTGCTTGTGCTTCCTCTCCTTGTGCTTCCTCTGCTTGTGCTTCCTCTGCTTGTGCTGCCTCTGCTTGCGCTTCCTCTGCTTGTGATCCCTCTGCTTGCGCTTCCTCAGCTTGGGCTTCCTTTGCTTGGGCTCCTGTGCTTGCACTCCCTCTACTTGCACTTCCTCTTCTTGCGCTTCCTGTGCTTGTGCTTCCTCTGCTTGTGCTTCCTCTACTTGCGCTTCCTCTTCTTGTGCTTCCTCTGCTTGAACTTCCTCTACTTGCGCTTCCTCTGCTTGCGCTCCTCTGCTTGTGCTTCCTTTGCTTGTGCTTCCTCTGCTTGCGCTTCTTCTAGTTGTGCTTCCGCTGCTTGTGCTTCCTCTGCTTGTGCTTCCTCTGCTTGCGCTTCCTCTGCTTGCGCTTCCTCTGCTTGCGCTTCCTCTACATGCGCCTCCTCTGCTTGGGCTCCTCTGCTTGTGCGTCCTCTGCTTGTGCTTCCTCTGCTTGCGCTTCCTCTACTTGTGCTTCCTCTGCTTGTGCTTCCCCTGCTTGCGCTTCCTCTGCTTGCGCTTCCTCTGCTTGCACTTCCTCTGCTTGTGCTTCCTCTGCTTGCGCTTCCTCTGCTTGTGCTTCCTCTATTTGCGCTTCCTCTGCTTGCGCTTCCTCTATTTGCGCTTCCTCTTCTTGCGCTTCCATTGCTTACGCTTCCTCTGCTTGTGCTTCCTCTGCTTGCTCTTCCTTTGCTTACGCTTCCTCTGCCTGCGCTCCTCTGCTTGTGCTTCCTCTGCTTGTGCTTCCTCTGCTTGCGCTTCCTCTGCTTGTGCTTCCTCTGCTTGCGCTTCCTCTGCCTGCGCTTCCTCTGCTTGCGCTTCCTCTGCTTGCGCTTCCTCTGCTTGCGCTTCCTCTGCTTGCGCTTCCTCTGCTTGGGCTCCTCTGCTTGTGCTTCCTCTGCTTGTGCTTCCTCTGCTTGCGCTTCCTCTGCTTGTGCTTCTTCTGCTTGTGCTTCCTCTCCTTGCGCTTCCCCTGCTTGTGCTTCCTCTGCTTGCGCTTCCTCTGCTTGCGCTTCCGCTGCTTGTGCTTCCTCTGCTTGTGCTTCCTCTGCTTGTGCTTCCTCTGCTTGCGTTTCCTCTGCTTAAGCTTCCTCTGCTTGCGCTTCCTCTGCTTGCGCTCCTCTGGTTGTGCTTCCTCTGCTTGTGCTTCCTCTGCTTGCGCTTCCTCTGCTTGTGCTTCCTCTGCTTTCGCTTCTTCTGCTTGTGCTTCCTCTGCTTGCGCTTCCTCTGCTTGCGCTCCTCTGCTTGTGCTTCCTCTGCTTGTGCTTCCTGCTTGTGCTTCCTCTGCTTGCGCTTCCTCTGCTTGTGCTTCCTCTACTTGCGCTTCCTCTGCTTGCGCTTCCTCTGCTTGCGCTTCCTCTTCTTGCGCTTCCTCTGCTTACGCTACCTCTGCTTGTGCTTCCTCTGCTTGCTCTTCCTTTGCTTACGCTTCCTCTTCTTGCGCTCCTCTGCTTGTGCGTTCTCTGCTTGTGCTTCCTCTGCTTGCGCTTCCTCCGCTTGTGCATCCTCTACTTGCGCTTCCTCTGCTTGTGCTTCCTCTGCTTGCGCTTCCTCTGCTTGCGCTTCCTCTGCTTGTGCTTCCTCTACTTGCGCTTCCTCTTCTTGCGCTTCCTGTGCTTACGCTTCTTCTGCTTGTGCTTCCTCTGCTTGCTCTTCCTTTGCTTACGCTTCCTCTGCCTGCGCTTCTCTGCTTGTGCTTCCTCTGCTTTTGCTTCCTTTGCTTGTGCTTCCTCTGCTTGTGCTTCCTTTGCTTACACTTCCTCAGCTTGCGCTCCTCTGCTTGTGCTTCCTCTGCTTGTGCTTCCTCTGCTTGCGCTTCCTTTGCTTGTGCATCCTCTACTTGCGCTTCCTCTGCTTGTGCTTCCTCTGCTTGCGCTTCCTCTGCTTGCGCTCCTCTGCTTGTGCTTCCTCTGCTTGTGCTTCCTGCTTGTGCTTCCTCTACTTGCGCTTCCTCTGCTTGTGCTTTCTCTACTTGCACTTCCTCTGCTTGCGCTTCCTGTGCTTGCGCTTCCTCTTCTTGCGCTTCCTGTGCTTACGCTTCCTCTGCTTGTGCTTCCTCGGCTTGCTCATCCTTTGCTTACGCTTCCTCTGCCTGCGCTCCTCTGCTTGTGCTTCCTCTGCTTGTGCTTCCTTTGCTTGCGTTTCCTCTGCTTGTGCTTCCTCTACTTGCGCTTCCTCTGCTTGTGCTTCCTCTGCTTGCGCTTCCTCTGCTTGCGCTCCTCTGCTTGTGCTTCCTCTGCTTGCGATTCCTCTGCTTGCGCTTCCTCTGCTTGCGCTTCCTCTGCTTGCGCTTCCTCTGCTTCCGCTTCCTCTGCTTGCGCTTCCTCTGCTTGCGCTTCCTCTGCTTGCGCTTCCCCTGCTTGCGCTTCCTCTGCTTGCGCTTCCTCTGCTTGCGCTTCCTTTGCTTGCGTTTCCTCTGCTTGCGCTTCCTATGCTTGCGCTTCCTCTGCTTGGGCTCCTTTGCTTGTGCTTCCTCTACTTGTGCTTCCTTTGCTTGTGCTTCCTCTGCTTCTGCTTCCTCTGCTTGTGCTTCCTCTGCTTGTGCTTCCTCTGCTTGTGCTTCCTCTGCTTGTGCTTCCTCTGCTTGTGCTTCCTCTGCTTGTGCTTCCTCTTCTTGTGCTTCCTCTGCTTGCGCTTCCTTTGCTTGCGCTCCTGTGCTCCTGCTTCCTCTGCTTGTGCTTCCTGCTTGTGCTTCCTCTGCTTGCGCTTCCTCTGCGCTTCCTCTGCTTGCGCTTCCTCTGCTTGCACTTCCTCTGATTGCGCTTCCTCTTCTTGCGCTTCCTCAGCTTATGCTTCCTCTGATTCTGCTTCCTTATCTTGCTCTTCCTTTGCTTACGCTTCCTCTGCTTGCGCTCCTCTGCTTGTGCTTCCTCTGCTTGTGCTTCCTTTCCTTGCAATTCCTCTGCTTGTGCTTCCTCTGCTTGCGCTTCCTCTGCTTGCGCTCCTCTACTTGTGCTTCCTCTGCTTGTGCTTCCTGCTTGTGCTTCCTCTGCTTGTGCTTCCTCTGCTTGTGCTTCCTCTACTTGCGCTTCCTCTTCTTGCGCTTCCTTTGCTTGCGCTTCCTCCTCTTACGCTTCCTCTGCTTGTGCTTCCTCTGCTTGCTCTTCCTTTGCTTACGCTTCCTCAGTTTGCGCTCCTCTTCTTGTGCTTCCTCTGCTTGTGCGTCCTCTACTTGTGCTTCCTCTGCTTGTGCTTCCTCTACTTGCGCTTCTTCTGCTTGTGCTTCCTCTGCTTGTGCTTCCTCTTCTTGCGCTCCTCTGCTTGTGCTTCCTCTCCTTGCGATTCCTCTGCTTGCGCTTCCTCTGCCTTCGCTTCCTCTACTTGCGCTCCTCTGCTTGTGCTTCCTCTGCTTGTGCTTCCTCTGCTTGCTCTTCCTTTGCTTACGCTTCCTCTGCCTGCGCTCCTCTGCTTATGCTTCCTCTGCTTGTGCTTCCTATGCTTGCGCTTCCTCTGCTTGTGCTTCCTCTACTTGCACTTCCTCTGCTTGTGCTTCCTCTTCTTGTGCTTCCTCTACTTGCGCTCCTCTGCTTGTGCTTCCTTTGCTTGCGCTTCCTCTGCTTGCGCTTCCTATGCTTGCGCTTCTTCTGCTTGGGCTCCTTTGCTTGTGCTTCCTCTGCTTGTGCTTCCTTTGCTTGTGCTTCCTCTGCTTGTGCTTCCTCTGCTTGTGCTTCCTTTGCTTGTGCTTCCTCTGCTTGTGCTTCCTCTGCTTGCGCTTCCTCTGCTTGTGCTTCCTCTGCTTGCGTTTCCTTTGCTTGCGCTCCTCTGCTCCTGCTTCCTCTGCTTGTGCTTCCTGCTTGTGCTTCCTCTGCTTGCGCTTCCTCTGCTTACGCTTCCTCTGCTTGCGCTTCCTCTTCTTGTGCTTCCTCTGCTTGCGCTTCCTCTGCTTGCGCTCCTCTGCTTGTGCTTCCTCTGCTTGCGATTCCTCTGCTTGCGCTTCCTCTGCTTGCGCTTCCTCTGCTTGCGCTTCCTCTGCTTCCGCTTTTTCTGCTTGCGCTTCCTCTGCTTGCGCTTCCTCTGCTTGCGCTTCCTCTTCTTGCGCTTCCTTTGCTTGCGCTTCCTCTGCTTGCGCTTCCTATGCTTGCGCTTCCTCTGCTTGGGCTTAGTTGCTTGTGCTTCCTCTGCTTGTGCTTCCTTTGCTTGTGCTTCCTCTGCTTGTGCTTCCTCTGCTTGTGCTTCCTCTGCTTGTGCTTCCTCTGCTTGCGCTTCCTTTGCTTGCACTCCTCTGCTCGTGCTTCCTCTGCTTGTGCTTCCTGCTTGTGCCTCCTCTGCTTGCGCTTCCTCTGCGCTTCCTCTGCTTGCGCTTCCTCTGCTTGCACTTCCTCTGCTTGTGCTTCCTCTTCTTGTGCTTCCTCTACTTGCGCTCCTCTGCTTGTGCTTCCTTTGCTTGCGCTTCCTCTGCTTGCGCTTCCTATGCTTGCGCTTCCTCTGCTTGGGCTCCTTTGCTTGTGCTTCCTCTGCTTGTGCTTCCTTTGCTTGTGCTTCCTCTGCTTGTGCTTCCTCTGCTTGTGCTTCCTCTGCTTGTGCTTCCTCTGCTTGTGCTTCCTCTGCTTGCGCTTCCTCTGCTTGTGCTTCCTCTGCTTGTGCTTCCTTTGCTTGCGCTCCTCTGCTCCTGCTTCCTCTGCTTGTGCTTCCTGCTTGTACTTCCTCTGCTTGCGCTTCCTCTGCTTACGCTTCCTCTGCTTGCGCTTCCTCTGCTTGCACTTCCTCTGCTTGCGCTTCCTCTTCTTGCGCTTCCTCAGCTTATGCTTCCTCTGATTGTGCTTCCTCATCTTGCTCTTCCTTTGCTTACGCTTCCTCTGCTTGCGCTCCTCTGCTTGGGCTTCATCTGCTTGTGCTTCCTTTCGTTGCAATTCCTCTGTTTTTGCTTCCTCTGCTTGCGCTTCCTCTGCTTGCGCTCCTCTACTTGTGCTTCCTCTGCTTGTGCTTCCTGCTTGTGCTTCCTCTACTTGTGCTTCCTCTGCTTGTGCTTCCTCTACTTGCGCTTCCTCTGCTTGCGCTTCCTTTGCTTGCGCTTCCTCCTCTTGCGCTTCCTCTGCTTATGCTTCCTCTGCTTGTGCTTCCTCTGCTTGCTCTTCCTTTGCTTACGCTTCCTCAGCCTGCGCTCCTCTTCTTGTGCTTCCTCTGCTTTTGCGTCCTCTACTTGCGCTTCCTCTGCTTGTGCTTCCTCTACTTGCGCTTCTTCTGCTTGTGCTTCCTCTGCTTGTGCTTCCTGTGCTTGCGCTCCTCTGCTTGTGCTTCCTCTGCTTGCGATTCCTCTGCTTGCGCTTCCTCTGCTTTCGCTTCCTCTACTTGCGCTCCTCTGCTTGTGCTTCCTCTGCTTGTGCTTCCTCTGCTTGCTCTTCTTTTGCTTACGCTTCCTCTGCCTGCGCTCCTCTGCTTATGCTTCCTCTGCTTGTGCTTCCTCTGCTTGCGCTTCCTCTGCTTGTGCTTCCTCTACTTGCACTTCCTCTGCTTGTGCTTCCTCTTCTTGTGCTTCCTCTACCTGCGCTCCTCTGCTTGTGCTTCCTCTGCTTGTGCTTCCTCTGCTTGTGCTTCCTCTTCTTGTGCTTCCTCTGCTTGCGCTTCCTCTGCTATCGCTTCCTCTGGTTGTGACTCCTCTGCTTGCGCTTCCTCTACTTGCGCTTCCTCTACTTGCGCTTCCTCTGCTTGGGCATCCTCTGCTTGCGCTTCCTCTGCTTGCACTTCCTCTGCTTGCGCTTCCTCTTCTTGCGCTCCTCTGCTTGTGCTTCCTCTGCTTGTGCTTCCTCTGCTTGCGCTTCCTCTGCTTGTGCTTCTTCTGCTTCCGCTTCCTCTACTTGTGCTTCCTCTGCTTGCGCTTCCTTTGCTTGTTCTTCCTCTTCTTGTGCTTCCTCTTCTTGCGCTTCCTCTGCTAGTGCTTCCTCTGCTTACACTTCCTCTGCTTGCGCTTCCTCTTCTCGCGCTTCCTCTGCTTGTGCTTCCTTTGCTTGTGCTTCCTCTGCTTGTGCTTCCTCAACTTGTGCTTCCTCTGCTTGCGCTTCCTCTGGTTGTGACTCCTCACGTTCCGCTTCCTCTGCTTGCGCTTTCTCTGCTTGTGCTTCCTCTTCTTGCCCTTCCTCTGCTTGCCCTTCCTCTGCTTGCGCTCCTCTGCTTGTGCTTCCTCTGCTTGTGCTTCCTCTGCTTGCGCTTCCTCTGCTTGTGCTTCCTCTACTTACGCTTCCTCTGCTTGCGCTTTTTCTGCTCACGCTTCCTCTGCTTGTGCTTCCTCTGCTTGTGCTTCCTCTGCTTGTGCTTCCTCAACTTGCGCTTCCTCTGCTTGCGCTTCCTCTGGTTGTGACTCCTCAGCTCCCGCTTCCTCTGCTTGCATTTCCTCTGCTTGTGCTTCCTCTTCTTGCGCTTCCTCTGTTTGCGCTTCCTCTGCTTGCGCTCCTCTGCTTGTGCTTCCTCTGCTTGTGCTTCCTCTGCTTGCGTTTCCTTTGCTTGTGCTTCTTCAGCTTCCGCTTCCTTTGCTTGTTCTTCCTCTGCTTGTGCTTCCTCTGCTTGTGCTTCCTGCTTGTGCTTCCTCTACTTGTGCTTCCTCTGCTTGTGCTTCCTCTACTTGCGCTTCCTCTGCTTGCGCTTCCTTTGCTTGCGCTTCCTCCTCTTGCGCTTACTCTGCTTACGCTTCCTCTGCTTGTGCTTCCTCTGCTTGCTCTTCCTTTGCTTACGCTTCCTCAGCCTGCGCTCCTCTGCTTGTGCTTCCTCTGCTTGTGCGTCCTCTACTTGCGCTTCCTCTGCTTGTGCTTCCTCTACTTGCGCTTCTTCTGCTTGTGCTTCCTCTGCTTGTGCTTCCTCTGCTTGCGCTCCTCTGCTTGTGCTTCCTCTGCTTGCGATTCCTCTGCTTGCGCTTCCTCTGCTTTCGCTTCCTCTACTTGCGCTCCTCTGCTTGTGCTTCCTCTGCTTGTGCTTCCTCTGCTTGCTCTTCCTTTGCTTACGCTTCCTCTGCCTGCGCTCCTCTGCTTATGCTTCCTCTGCTTGTGCTTCCTCTGCTTGCGCTTCCTCTGCTTGTGCTTCCTCTACTTGCACTTCCTCTGCTTGTGCTTCCTCTTCTTGTGCTTCCTCTACTTGCGCTCCTCTGCTTGTGCTTCCTCTACTTGTGCTTCCTCTGCTTGTGCTTCCTCTTCTTGTGCTTCCTCTGCTTGCGCTTCCTCTGCTTTCGCTTCCTCTGGTTGTGACTCATCTGCTTGTGCTTCCTCTACTTGCGCTTCCTCTACTTGCGCTTCCTCTGCTTGGGCATCCTCTGCTTGCGCTTCCTCTGCTTGCACTTCCTCTGCTTGCGCTTCCTCTTCTTGCGCTCCTCTGCTTGTGCTTCCTCTGCTTGTGCTTCCTCTGCTTGCGCTTCCTCTGCTTCTGCTTCCTCTGCTTACGCTTCCTCTGCTTGCGCTTCCTCTGCTCACGCTTCCTCTGCTTGTGCTTCCTCTGCTTGTGCTTCCTCTGCTTGTGCTTCCTCAACTTGCGCTTCCTCTGCTTGCGCTTCCTCTGGTTGTGACTTCTCAGCTCCCGCTTCCTCTGCTTGTATTTCCTCTGCTTGTGCTTCCTCTTCTTGCGCTTCCTCTGTTTGCGCTTCCTCTGCTTGCGCTCCTCTGCTTGTGCTTCCTCTGCTTGTGCTTCCTTTGCTTGCGTTTCCTCTGCTTGTGCTTCTTCAGCTTCCGCTTCCTTTGCTTGTTCTTCCTCTGCTTGTGCTTCCTTTCGTTGCAATTCCTCTGTTTTTGCTTCCTCTGCTTGCGCTTCCTCTGCTTGCGCTCCTCTACTTGTGCTTCCTCTGCTTGTGCTTCCTGCTTGTGCTTCCTCTACTTGTGCTTCCTCTGCTTGTGCTTCCTCTACTTGCGCTTCCTCTGCTTGCGCTTCCTTTGCTTGCGCTTCCTCCTCTTGTGCTTCCTCTGCTTATGCTTCCTCTGCTTGTGCTTCCTCTGCTTGCTCTTCCTTTGCTTAAGCTTCCTCAGCCTGCGCTCCTCTGCTTGTGCTTCCTCTGCTTGTGCGTCCTCTACTTGCGCTTCCTCTGCTTGTGCTTCCTCTACTTGCGCTTCTTCTGCTTGTGCTTCCTCTGCTTGTGCTTCCTGTGCTTGCGCTCCTCTGCTTGTGCTTCCTCTGCTTGCGATTCCTCTCCTTGCGCTTCCTCTGCTTTCGCTTCCTCTACTTGCGCTCCTCTGCTTGTGCTTCCTCTGCTTGTGCTTCCTCTGCTTGCTCTTCTTTTGCTTACGCTTCCTCTGCCTGCGCTCCTCTGCTTATGCTTCCTCTGCTTGTGCTTCCTCTGCTTGCGCTTCCTCTGCTTGTGCTTCCTCTACTTGCACTTCCTCTGCTTGTGCTTCCTCTTCTTGTGCTTCCTCTACTTGCGCTCCTCTGCTTGTGCTTCCTCTGCTTGTGCTTCCTCTGCTTGTGCTTCCTCTTCTTGTGCTTCCTCTGCTTGCGCTTCCTCTGCTATCGCTTCCTCTGGTTGTGACTCCTCTGCTTGCGCTTCCTCTACTTGCGCTTCCTCTACTTGCGCTTCCTCTGCTTGGGCATCCTCTGCTTGCGCTTCCTCTGCTTGCACTTCCTCTGCTTGCGCTTCCTCTTCTTGCGCTCCTCTGCTTGTGCTTCCTCTGCTTGTGCTTCCTCTGCTTGCGCTTCCTCTGCTTGTGCTTCTTCTGCTTCCGCTTCCTCTACTTGTGCTTCCTCTGCTTGCGCTTCCTTTGCTTGTTCTTCCTCTTCTTGTGCTTCCTCTTCTTGCGCTTCCTCTGCTAGTGCTTCCTCTGCTTACACTTCCTCTGCTTGCGCTTCCTCTTCTCGCGCTTCCTCTGCTTGTGCTTCCTTTGCTTGTGCTTCCTCTGCTTGTGCTTCCTCAACTTGTGCTTCCTCTGCTTGCGCTTCCTCTGGTTGTGACTCCTCACGTTCCGCTTCCTCTGCTTGCGCTTTCTCTGCTTGTGCTTCCTCTTCTTGCCCTTCCTCTGCTTGCCCTTCCTCTGCTTGCGCTCCTCTGCTTGTGCTTCCTCTGCTTGTGCTTCCTCTGCTTGCGCTTCCTCTGCTTGTGCTTCCTATACTTACGCTTCCTCTGCTTGCGCTTCCTCTGCTCACGCTTCCTCTGCTTGTGCTTCCTCTGCTTGTGCTTCCTCTGCTTGTGCTTCCTCAACTTGCGCTTCCTCTGCTTGCGCTTCCTCTGGTTGTGACTCCTCAGCTCCCGCTTCCTCTGCTTGCATTTCCTCTGCTTGTGCTTCCTCTTCTTGCGCTTCCTCTGTTTGCGCTTCATCTGCTTGCGCTCCTCTGCTTGTGCTTCCTCTGCTTGTGCTTCCTCTGCTTGCGTTTCCTCTGCTTGTGCTTCTTCAGCTTCCGCTTCCTTTGCTTGTTCTTCCTCTGCTTGTGCTTCCTCTGCTTGTGCTTCCTGCTTGTGCTTCCTCTACTTGTGCTTCCTCTGCTTGTGCTTCCTCTACTTGCGCTTCCTCTGCTTGCGCTTCCTTTGCTTGCGCTTCCTCCTCTTGCGCTTCCTCTGCTTACGCTTCCTCTGCTTGTGCTTCCTCTGCTTGCTCTTCCTTTGCTTACGCTTCCTCAGCCTTCGCTCCTCTGCTTGTGCTTCCTCTGCTTGCGATTCCTCTGCTTGCGCTTCCTCTGCTTTCGCTTCCTCTACTTGCGCTCCTCTGCTTGTGCTTCCTCTGCTTGTGCTTCCTCTACTTGCTCTTCCTTTGCTTACGCTTCCTCTGCCTGCGCTCCTCTGCTTATGCTTCCTCTGCTTGTGCTTCCTCTGCTTGCGCTTCCTCTGCTTGTGCTTCCTCTACTTGCACTTCCTCTGCTTGTGCTTCCTCTTCTTGTGCTTCCTCTACTTGCGCTCCTCTGCTTGTGCTTCCTCTACTTGTGCTTCCTCTGCTTGTGCTTCCTCTTCTTGTGCTTCCTCTGCTTGCGCTTCCTCTGCTTTCGCTTCCTCTGGTTGTGACTCCTCTGCTTGTGCTTCCTCTACTTGCGCTTCCTCTACTTGCGCTTCCTCTGCTTGGGCATCCTCTGCTTGCGCTTCCTCTGCTTGCACTTCCTCTGCTTGCGCTTCCTCTTCTTGCGCTCCTCTGCTTGTGCTTCCTCTGCTTGTGCTTCCTCTGCTTGCGCTTCCTCTGCTTGTGCTTCCTCTGCTTACGCTTCCTCTGCTTGCGCTTCCTCTGCTCACGCTTCCTCTGCTTGTGCTTCCTCTGCTTGTGCTTCCTCTGCTTGTGCTTCCTCAACTTGCTCTTCCTCTGCTTGCGCTTCCTCTGGTTGTGACTTCTCAGCTCCCGCTTCCTCTGCTTGCATTTCCTCTGCTTGTGCTTCCTCTGTTTGCGCTTCCTCTGCTTGCGCTCCTCTGCTTGTGCTTCCTCTGCTTGTGCTTCCTTTGCTTGCGTTTCCTCTGCTTGTGCTTCTTCAGCTTCTGCTTCCTTTGCTTGTTCTTCCTCTGCTTGTGCTTCCTCTGCTTGCGCTTCCTCTGCTTGCGCTTCCTATGCTTGCGCTTCCTCTGCTTGGGCTCCTTTGTTTGTGCTTCCTCTGCTTGTGCTTCCTTTGCTTGTGCTTCCTCTGCTTGTGCTTCCTCTACTTGTGCTTCCTCTGCTTGTGCTTCCTCTGCTTGTGCTTCCTCTGCTTGCGCTTCCTCTGCTTGTGCTTCCTCTGCTTGCGCTTCCTTTGCTTGCGCTCCTCTGCTCCTGCTTCCTCTGCTTGTGCTTCCTGCTTGTGCTTCCTCTGCTTGCGCTTCCTCTGCTTACGCTTCCTCTGCTTGCGCTTCCTCTGCTTGCACTTCCTCCGCTTGCGCTTCCTCTTCTTACGCTTCCTCAGCTTATGCTTCCTCTGATTGTGCTTCCTCATCTTGCTCTTCCTTTGCTTACGCTTCCTCTGCTTGCGCTCCTCTGCTTGTGCTTCCTCTGCTTGTGCTTCCTTTCCTTGCAATTCCTCTGCTTCTGCTTCCTCTGCTTGCGCTTCCTCTGCTTGCGCTCCTCTACTTGTGCTTCCTTTGCTTGTGCTTCCTCTGCTTGTGCTTCCTCTGCTTGTGCTTCCTCTACTTGCGCTTCCTCTGCTTGCGCTTCCTTTGCTTGCGCTTCCTCCTCTTGCGCTTCCTCTGCTTACGCTTCCTCTGCTTGTGCTTCCTCTGCTTGCTCTTCCTTTGCTTACGCTTCCTCAGCCTGCGCTCCTCTGCTTGTGCTTCCTCTGCTTGTGCGTCCTCTACTTGCGCTTCCTCTGCTTGTGCTTCCTCTACTTGGGCTTCTTCTGGTTGTGCTTCCTCTGCTTGTGCTTCCTTTGCTTGCGCTCCTCTGCTTGTGCTTCCTCTGCTTGCGATTCCTCTGCTTGCGCTTCCTCTGCTTTTGCTTCCTCTACTTGCGCTCCTCTGCTTGTGCTTCCTCTGCTTGTGCTTCCTCTGCTCGCTCTTCCTTTGCTTACGCTTCCTCTGCCTGCGCTCCTCTGCTTATGCTACCTCTGCTTGTGCTTCCTCTGCTTGCGCTTCCTCTGCTTGTGCTTCCTCTACTTGCACTTCCTCTGCTTGTGCTTCCTCCTCTTGTGCTTCCTCTACTTGCACTTCTCTGCTTGTGCTTCCTCTGCTTGCGATTCCTCTGCTTGCGCTTCCTCTTCTTGAGCTTCCTTTGCTTGCGCTCCTCTACTTGTGCTTCCTCTGCTTGCGCTTCCTCTGCTTGTGCTTCCTCTGCTTGCGCTTCCTCTGCTTGCGCTTCCTCTGCTTGCGCTTCCTCTGCTTGCGCTTCCTCTGCTTGTGCTCCTCTGCTTGCGCTTCCTCTGGTTGTGCTTCCTCTACTTGCGCTTCCTCTGCTTGCGCTTCCTCTCCTTGCGCTTCCTCTACTTGCGCTTCCTCTGCTTGCGCTCCTCTGCTTGTGCTTCCTCTGCTTGCGCTTTCTCTGCTTGTGCTTCCTGTGCTTGCGCCTCCTCTGCTTGTGCTTCCTCTGCTTGCCCTTCCTCTGCTTGCACTTCCTCTGCATGCGCTTCCTCTGCTTGTGCTTCCTCTGCTTATGCTTCCTCTGCTTGTGCTTCCTCTGCTTGCGCTTCCTCTGCTTGTGCTTCCTCTGCTTGCGCTTCCTCTGCTTGCGCTTCCTCTGCTTGCGCTTCCTCTGCTTGCGCTTCCTCTACTTGCGCTTCCTCTTCTTGCGCTTCCTGTGCTTGCGCTTCCTCTACTTGCGCTTCCTCTGCTTGGGCTCCTCTTGTTGTTTGATGCAACCATATGCATTCACGTCTGTCTGCCTCCCATCATGTGTTGGTGCGTTGCATGCGTGGTGTGAGCGTGTGCAAGAATTTGTGTTTGATGTGGTTTGGTTTTTCAGAGTGAGTGTATGTTATTTGGCTTGAGCAGATATCTGAAGTGATTCCTCTACTCAAGAGCTTTCCGACGAACCAAGAATCGTCGCGATTGGAGCACAACCAAGAAAGTTACGAACATTGGAGTTCGTATGCTTATATATTTTGGTTGCAGCTACTTTGGGAAGTTGCGGCATTGACTCAATATGGGGCACAGACTTGTGGAGGTTGGGAAATTCGAACCCATCACTGTAGATGCTGCCAAGAGGTTGGGTGAAGCCAAACCAGGTTGGTAAGTGTGGCCAAGTTGTGGTGAGGTGGATGGCATGGGTTGGAAAGTGACAAAAGTCAAAGTTTGTTGCCTATGGGGAAGGGAATTGTGTGGCATGGGGTTTCCTTGTGTTAAACACTAAGGACGGAGTCTATGAAGATTAGGTGCCCAAATTTTTTAAAATCGTTGGTCTCAATTTCTGGACAGAAACGTTTCACAAGAAACGTTGTCGACGAAAGGTGCACTATTAGAATCCCACGAAATTCGACTATGTTTTAGCCCTAGACCGTGGCTACATTTCCCAATTTGAATCGTATCAAATTATGAAGCATAGCTTGAGTTAGACGTTTCGGCGCACTAGGGGGTATGCTGCCACAGAAATTTAACTCGATCACAATTAACTCACAAGTCCCACAAAAGAACATTAGAGTAGCACTAAACCTGGTAGGAGGGGAAGAGGAGGACGAGAGGGAAGGTCCCAAGAGAGAGTCCCCAACCAAGGAAACCCTTGCCACAGAATTCCCTTCCCCATAGGCAACAAACTTTGACTTTTGTCACTTTCCAACCCATGCCATCCACCTCACCACAACTTGGCCACACTTACCAACCTGGTTTGGCTTCACCCAACCTCTTGGCAGCATCTACAGTGATGGGTTCGAATTTCCCAACCCCCACAAGTCTGTACCCCATATTGAGTCAATGCCACAACTTCCCAAAGTAGCTGCAACCAAAATATATAAGCATACGAACTCCAATGTTCGTAACTTTCTTGGTTGTGCTCCGATCGCGACGATTCTTGGTTCGTCGGAAAGCTCTTGAGTAGAGGAATCACTTCAGATATCTGCTCAAGCCAAATAACATACACTCACTCTGAAAAAACCAAACCACATCAAACACAAATTCTTGCACACGCTCACACCACGCATGCAACGCACAAACACATGATGGGAGGCAGACAGACGTGAATGCATATGGTTGCATCACACAACACCTTGGTTGGGGACTCTCTCTTAGGACCTTCCCTCTCGTCCTCCTCTTCCCCTCCTACAAGGCTTAGTGCTACTCTAATGTTCGTTTGTGGGACTTGTGAGTTAATTCTGATCGAGTTGAATTTCTGTGGCAGCATACCCCCTAGTGCGCCGAAATGTATAACTCGAGATATTCTTCATAATTTGATACGATTCAAATTGGGAAATGTAGCCACGGTCTAGGGCTACAACATATTCGAATTTTGTGGGATTCAAACAGTGCACCTTTCGTCGACAACGTTTCTTGTGAAGTCGACGTTTCTGTCCAGAAATTGAGACCAACGATTTTGAGAAATTTGGGCACCTAATCTTCATAGACTCCGTCCTTGGTTTATAACACCTTTGCTTGTACTTCCTATGCTTGTGCTTCCTCTGCTTGTGCTTCCTGTGCTTGGGCTTCTTCTGCTTGCGCTTCCTCTGCTTGTGCTTCCTCTGCTTCCGCTTCCTCTGCTTCTGCTTCCTCTACTTCGCTTCCTCTGCTTTCGTTACCTCTACTTGTGCTTCCTATGCTTGTGCCTCCTCTGCTTGTGTTTCCTATGCTTGTGCTTCCTCTGCTTGTGCTTCCTCTACTTGTGCTTCCTCTGCATGTTCTTCCTCTGCTTGTGCTTCCTCTTCTTGCGCTTCCTCTGCTTGCGCTCCTTTGCTTGCGCTTCCTTTTCTTTGGCTTCCTCTGCTTGTGCTTCCTCTGCTTGTGCTTCCTGTGCTTGTGCTTCCTCTCCTTGCGCTTCCTCTGCTTGCGCTCCTCTGCTTGCGCTTCCTTTGCTTGTGCTTCCTCTGCTTGTGCTGCCTCTACTTGTGCTTCCTCCGCTTGTGCTTCCTCTGCTTGTGCTTCCTCTGCTTGCGCTTCCTCTTCTTGCGCTTCCTCTGCTTTCGCTTCCTCTGCTTCCGCTCCTCTGCTTGTGCTTCCTCTGCTTGTGCTTCCTCTGCTAGCGCTTCCTTTGCTTGCACTTCCTCTGCTTGCGCTTCCTCTGTTGCGCTTCCTCTACTTGTGCTTCCTCTGCTTGCGCTTCCTCTTCTTGCGCTTCCTCTTCTTGCGCTTCCTCTACTTGCGCTTCCTCTGCTTGCGCTTCCTCTGCTTGCACTTCCTCTGCTTGCGCTTCCTTCGCTTGCGCTTCCTCTGCTTGCGCTTCTTCTGCTTGCGCTTCCTCCGCTTGGGCTCCTCTGCTTGTGCTTCCTTTGCTTGTGCTTCCTCTGCTTGCGCTTCCTCTGCTTGAGCTTCCTCTGCTTGTGCTTCCTCTGCTTGCGCTTCCTCTTCTTGTGCTTCCTCTGCTTGTGCTTCCTGTGCTTGTGCTTGCTCTGCTTGCGCTTCCTCTGCTTGTGCTTCCTCTTCTTGTGCATCCTCTACTTGCGCTCCTCTTCTTGTGCTTCCTCCGCTTGTGCTTCCTCTGCTTGCGCTTCCTCTTCTTGTGCTTCGTCTGCTTGCGTTTCCTCTACTTGTGCTTCCTCTCCTTGCGCTTCCTTTGCTTGCGCTCCTCTGCTCCTGCTTCCACTGCTTGTGCTTCCTGCTTGTGCTTCCTCTGCTTGCGCTTCCTCTGCTTATGCTTCCTCTGCTTGCGCTTCTTCTGCTTGCGCTTCCTCTTCTTGCGCTTCCTCAGCTTACACTTCCTCTGCTTGCGCTTCCTCTTCTTGTGCTTCCCCATCTTGCTCTACCTTTTCTTACGCTTCCTCTGCTTGCGCTCCTCTGCTTGTGCTTCCTCTGCTTGTGCTTCCCCTGCTTGCGCTTCCTCTGCTTGTGCTTTCTCTCCTTGCGCTTCCTCTGCTTGTGCTTCCTCTGCTTGCGCTTCCTCTGCTTGCGCTCCTCTGCTTGTGCTTCCTTTGCTTGTGCTTCTTGCTTGTGCTTCCTCTGCTTGCGCTTCCTCTGCTTGTGCTTCCTCTACTTGCGCTTCCTCTGCTTGCGCTTCCTTTGCTTGCGCTTCCTCCTCTTGCGCTTCCTCTGCTTACGCTTCCTCTGCTTGTGCCTCCTCTGCTTGCTCTTCCTTTGCTTACGCTTCCTCAGCCTGCGCTCCTCTGCTTGTTCTTCCTCTGCTTGTGCTTCCTTTTCTTGCGCTTCCTCTGCTTGTGCTTCCTCTACTTGCGCTTCCTCTGCTTGTGCTTCCTCTGCTTGTGCTTCCTCTGCTTGCGCTCCTCTGCTTGTGCTTCCTCTGCTTGCGATTTCTCTGCTTGCGCTTCCTCTGCTTGTGCTTCCTCTACTTGCGCTCCTCTGCTTGTGCTTCTTCTGCTTGTGCTTCCTCTGCTTGCTCTTCCTTTTCTTACGCTTCCTCTGCCTACGCTCCTCTGCTTGTGCTTCCTCTGCTTGTACTTCCTCTTCTTGCGCTTCCTCTGCTTGTGCTTCCTCTACTTGCGCTTCCTCTGCTTGTGCTTCCTCAGCTTGTGCTTCCTCTGCTTTCGCTCCTCTGCTTGTGCTTCCTCTGCTTGCGATTCCTCTGCTTGCGCTTCCTCTTCTTGAGCTTCCTCTGCTTGCGCTCCTTTGCTTGTGCTTCCTCTGCTTGCGCTTCCTCTGCTTGTGCTTTCTCTGCTTGCACTTCCTTTGCTTGCGCTTCCTCTGCTTGTGCTCCTTTGCTTGTGCTTCCTCTGCTTGTGCTTCCTCTGCTTGCGCTTCCTCTTCTTGCGCTTCCTCTCCTTGTGCTTCCTCTGCTTGCGCTTCCTCTGCTTGCGCTCCTCTACTTGTGCTTCCTCTGCATGCGCTTTCTCTGCTTGTGCTTCCTGTGCTTGCGCCTCCTCTGCCTGTGCTTCCTCTGCTTACACTTCCTCTGCTTGAGCTCCTCTGGTTTTGCTTCCTTTGCTTGTGCTTCCTCTGCTTGCGCTTCCTCTGCTTGTGCTTCCTCTGCTTGCGCTCCTCTGCTTGTGCTTCCTCTACTTGTGCTTCCTCTGCTTGCGCTTCCTCTGCTTGCGCTTCCTCTGCTTGCGCTCCTCTGCTTGTGCTTCCTCTTCTTGTGCTTCCTCTGCTTGCGCTTCCTCTGCTTGTGCTTCCTTTGCTTGCGCTTCTCTGCTTGTGCTTCCTCTACTTGTGCTTCCTATGCTTGCGCTTCCTCTGCTTGCGCTTCCTCTGCTTGCGCTCCTCTGCTTGTGCTTCCTCTTCTTGTGCTTCCTCTGCTTGCGCTTCCTCTGCTTGTGCTTCCTCTGCTTGCGCTTCCTCTGCTTGCAATTCCTCTGCTTGCGCTTCCTCTGCTTGTGCTTCCTCTACTTGCACTTCTTCTGCTTGTGCTTCCTTTGCTTGCGCTTCCTCTGCTTGCGCTTCCTCTGCTTGTGCTTTGTTCTTGTGCTTCCTCTGCTTGTGCTTCCTCTGCTTGTGTTTCCTCTGCTTGCGCTTCCTTTGCTTGCGCTTCCTCTGTTGCGATTCCTCTGCTTGCGCTTCCTCTGCTTGCGCTTCCTCTGCTTGCGCTTCCTCTGCTTGTGCTCCTCTGCTTGCGCTTCCTCTGCTTGTGCTTCCTCTGCTTGCGCTTCCTCCTCTTGCGCTTCCTCTCCTTGCGCTTCCTCTGCTTGCGCTTCCTCTGCTTGCGCTTCTCTGCTTGTGCTTCCTCTGCTTGCGCTTCCTCTGCTTGCGCTCCTCTGCTTGTGCTTCCTCTGCTTGCGCTTTCTCCGCTTGTGCTTCCTGTGCTTGCGCCTCCTCTGCTTGTGCTTCCTCTGCTTGCGCTTCCTCTGCTTGCACTCCTCTGCTTGTGCTTCCTCAGCTTGTGCTTCCTCTGCTTACGCTTCCTCTGCTTGCGCTTCCTCTACTTGTGCTTCCTCAACTTGCGCTTCCTCAACTTGCGCTTCCTCAACTTGCGCTTCCTCTGCTTGCGCTTCCTCTACTTGCGCTTCCTATGCTTGCGCTTCCTCTGCTTGCGCTTCCTCTGCTTGTGCTTCCTCTGCTTGGGCTCCTCTCCTTGTGCTTCCTATGCTTGTGCTTCCTCTGCTTGCGCTTCCTCTACTTGTGCTTCTTCTGCTTGCGCTTCCTCTGCTTGAGCTTCCTCTGCTTCCGCTTCCTCTGCTTGTGCTTCCTCTACTTGCGCTTCCTTTTCTTTCGCTACCTCTGCTTGTGCTTCCTATGCTTGTGCTTCCTCTGCTTGTGCTTCCTATGCTTGTGCTTCCTCTGCTTGTGCTTCCTCTACTTGTGCTTCCTCTGCATGTGCTTCCTCTGATTGTGCTTTCTCTCCTTGCGCTTCCTCTGCTTGTGCTTCCTCTGCTTGCGCTCCTCTGCTTGTGCTTCCTCTACTTGTGCTTCCTCTGCTTGCGCTTCCTCTGCTTGCGCTTCCTCTGCTTGCGCTCCTCTGCTTGTGCTTCCTCTACTTGTGCTTCCTGCTTGTGCTTCCTCTGCTTGCGCTTCCTCTGCTTGCGCTTCCTTTGCTTGCGCTTCCTCCTCTTGCGCTTCCTCTGCTTACGCTTCCTCTGCTTGTGCCTCCTCTGCTCGCTCTTCCTTTGCTTACGCTTTCTCAGCCTGCGCTCCTCTGCTTGTTCTTCCTCTGCTTGTGCTTCCTTTACTTGCGCTTCCTCTGCTTGTGCTTCCTCTACTTGCGCTTCCTCTGCTTGTGCTTCCTCTGCTTGTGCTTCCTCTGCTTGCGCTCCTCTGCTTGTGCTTTGTTCTTGTGCTTCCTCTGCTTGTGCTTCCTCTGCTTGTGTTTCCTCTGCTTGCGCTTCCTTTGCTTGCGCTTCCTCTGTTGCGATTCCTCTGCTTGCGCTTCCTCTGCTTGCGCTTCCTCTGCTTGCGCTTCCTCTGCTTGTGCTCCTCTGCTTGCGCTTCCTCTGCTTGTGCTTCCTCTGCTTGCGCTTCCTCCTCTTGCGCTTCCTCTCCTTGCGCTTCCTCTGCTTGCGCTTCCTCTGCTTGCGCTTCTCTGCTTGTGCTTCCTCTGCTTGCGCTTCCTCTGCTTGCGCTCCTCTGCTTGTGCTTCCTCTGCTTGCGCTTTCTCCGCTTGTGCTTCCTGTGCTTGCGCCTCCTCTGCTTGTGCTTCCTCTGCTTGCGCTTCCTCTGCTTGCACTCCTCTGCTTGTGCTTCCTCAGCTTGTGCTTCCTCTGCTTACGCTTCCTCTGCTTGCGCTTCCTCTACTTGTGCTTCCTCAACTTGCGCTTCCTCAACTTGCGCTTCCTCTGCTTGCGCTTCCTCTGCTTGCGCTTCCTCTACTTGCGCTTCCTATGCTTGCGCTTCCTCTGCTTGCGCTTCCTCTGCTTGTGCTTCCTCTGCTTGGGCTCCTCTCCTTGTGCTTCCTATGCTTGTGCTTCCTCTGCTTGCGCTTCCTCTGCTTGTGCTTCTTCTGCTTGCGCTTCCTCTGCTTGAGCTTCCTCTGCTTCCGCTTCCTCTGCTTGTGCTTCCTGTACTTGCGCTTCCTTTTCTTTCGCTACCTCTGCTTGTGCTTCCTATGCTTGTGCTTCCTCTGCTTGTGCTTCCTATGCTTGTGCTTCCTCTGCTTGTGCTTCCTCTACTTGTGCTTCCTCTGCATGTGCTTCCTCTGATTGTGCTTTCTCTCCTTGCGCTTCCTCTGCTTGTGCTTCCTCTGCTTGCGCTCCTCTGCTTGTGCTTCCTCTACTTGTGCTTCCTCTGCTTGCGCTTCCTCTGCTTGCGCTTCCTCTGCTTGCGCTCCTCTGCTTGTGCTTCCTCTGCTTGTGCTTCCTGCTTGTGCTTCCTCTGCTTGCGCTTCCTCTGCTTGCGCTTCCTTTGCTTGCGCTTCCTCCTCTTGCGCTTCCTCTGCTTACGCTTCCTCTGCTTGTGCCTCCTCTGCTCGCTCTTCCTTTGCTTACGCTTTCTCAGCCTGCGCTCCTCTGCTTGTTCTTCCTCTGCTTGTGCTTCCTTTACTTGCGCTTCCTCTGCTTGTGCTTCCTCTACTTGCGCTTCCTCTGCTTGTGCTTCCTCTGCTTGTGCTTCCTCTGCTTGCGCTCCTCTGCTTGTGCTTCCTCTGCTTGCGATTCCTCTGCTTGCGCTTCCTCTACTTGTGCTTCCTCTACTTGCGCTCCTCTGCTTGTGCTTCTTCTGCTTGTGCTTCCTCTGCTTGCTCTTCCTTTGCTTACGCTTCCTCTGCCTGCGCTCCTCTGCTTGTGCTTCCTCTGCTTGTGCTTCCTCTTCTTGCGCTTCCTCTGCTTGTGCTTCCTCTACTTGCGCTTCCTCTGCTTGTGCTTCCTCTTCATGTGCTTCCTCTGCTTGCGCTCCTCTGCTTGTGCTTCCTCTGCTTGCGATTCCTCTGCTTGCGCTTCCTCTTCTTGAGCTTCCTCTGCTTGCGCTCCTTTGCTTGTGCTTCCTCTGCTTGCGCTTCCTCTGCTTGTTCTTCCTCTGCTTGTGCTCCTCTGCTTGCGCTTCGTCTGCTTGTGCTTCCTCTGCTTGCGCTTCCTCTTCTTGCGCTTCCTCTCCTTGTGCTTCCTCTGCTTGCGCTTCCTCTGCTTGCGCTCCTCTGCTTGTGCTTCCTCCGCATGCGCTTTCTCTGCTTGTGCTTCCTGTGCTTGCGCCTCCTCTGCCTGTGCTTCCTCTGCTTACACTTCCTCTGCTTGAGCTCCTCTGCTTGTGCTTCCTTTGCTTGTGCTTCCTCTGCTTGCGCTTCCTCTGCTTGTGCTTCCTCTGCTTGCGCTCCTCTGCTTGTGCTTCCTCTACTTGTGCTTCCTCTGCTTGCGCTTCCTCTGCTTGCGCTTCCTCTACTTGCGCTCCTCTGCTTGTGCTTCCTCTTCTTGTGCTTCCTCTGCTTGCGCTTCCTCTGCTTGTGCTTCCTCTGCTTGCGCTTCCTCTGCTTGCAATTCCTCTGCTTGCGCTTCCTCTGCTTGTGCTTCCTCTGCTTGCACTTCTTCTGCTTGTGCTTCCTTTGCTTGCGCTTCCTCTGCTTGCGCTTTCTCTGCTTGTGCTTCTTTCTTTTGCTTCCTCTGCTTATGCTTCCTCTGCTTGTGTTTCCTCTTCTTGCGCTTCCTCTGCTTGCGCTTCCTCTGTTGCGATTCCTCTGCTTGCGCTTCCTCTTCTTGCGCTTCCTCTGCTTGCGCTTCCTCTGCTTGTGCTCCTCTGCTTGCGCTTCCTCTGCTTGTGCTTCCTCTGCTTGCGCTTCCTCTTCTTGCGCTTCCTCTCCTTGCGCTTCCTCTGCTTGCGCTTCCTCTGATTGCGCTTCTCTTCTTGTGCTTCCTCTGCTTGCGCTTCCCCTGCTTGCGCTCCTCTGCTTGTGCTTCCTCTGCTTGCGCTTTCTCCGCTTGTGCTTCCTGTGCTTGCGCCTCCTCTGCTTGTGCTTCCTCTGCTTGCGCTTCCTCTGCTTGCACTCCTCTGCTTGTGCTTCCTCAGCTTGTGCTTCCTCTGCTTACGCTTCCTCTGCTTGCGCTTCCTCTACTTGTGCTTCCTCAACTTGCGCTTCCTCTGCTTGCGCTTCCTCTGCTTGCGCTTCCTCTGCTTGCGCTTCCTCTACTTGCGCTTCCTCTGCTTGCGCTTCCTCTGCTTGCGCTTCCTCTGCTTGTGCTTCCTCTGCTTGGGCTCCTCTGCTTGTGCTTCCTATGCTTGTGCTTTCTCTGCTTGCGCTTCCTCTGCTTGTGCTTCTTCTGCTTGCGCTTCCTCTGCTTGTGCTTCCTCTGCTTCCGCTTCCTCTGCTTGTGCTTCCTCTACTTGCGCTTCCTCTTCTTTCGCTACCTCTGCTTGTGCTTCCTATGCTTGTGCTTCCTCTGCTTGTGCTTCCTATGCTTGTGCTTCCTCTGCTTGTGCTTCCTCTACTTGTGCTTCCTCTGCATGTGCTTCCTCTGCTTGTGCTTTCTCTCCTTGCGCTTCCTCTGCTTGTGCTTCCTCTGCTTGCGCATCCTCTACTTGCGCTCCTCTGCTTGTGCTTCCTCTGCTTGTGCTTCCTGCTTGTGCTTCCTCTGCTTGCGCTTCCTCTGCTTGCGCTTCCTTTGCTTGCGCTTCCTCCTCTTGCGCTTCCTCTGCTTACGCTTCCTCTGCTTGTGCCTCCTCTGCTTGCTCTTCCTTTGCTTACGCTTCCTCAGCCTGCGCTCCTCTGCTTGTTCTTCCTCTGCTTGTGCTTCCTTTACTTGCGCTTCCTCTGCTTGTGCTTCCTCTACTTGCGCTTCCTCTGCTTGTGCTTCCTCTGCTTGTGCTTCCTCTGCTTGCGCTCCTCTGCTTGTGCTTCCTCTGCTTGCGATTCCTCTGCTTGCGCTTCCTCTGCTTGTGCTTCTTCTGCTTGTGCTTCCTCTGCTTGCTCTTCCTTTGCTTACGCTTCCTCTGCCTGCGCTCCTCTGCTTGTGCTTCCTCTGCTTGTGCTTCCTCTTCTTGCGCTTCCTCTGCTTGTGCTTCCTCTACTTGCGCTTCCTCTGCTTGTGCTTCCTCTTCATGTGCTTCCTCTGCTTGCGCTCCTCTGCTTGTGCTTCCTCTGCTTGCGATTCCTCTGCTTGCGCTTCCTCTTCTTGAGCTTCCTCTGCTTGCGCTCCTTTGCTTGTGCTTCCTCTGCTTGCGCTTCCTCTGCTTGTGCTTCCTCTGCTTGTGCTCCTCTGCTTGCGCTTCCTCTGCTTGTGCTTCCTCTGCTTGCGCTTCCTCTTCTTGCGCTTCCTCTCCTTGTGCTTCCTCTGCTTGCGCTTCCTCTGCTTGCGCTCCTCTGCTTGTGCTTCCTCTGCATGCGCTTTCTTCGCTTGTGCTTCCTGTGCTTGCGCCTCCTCTGCCTGTGCTTCTTCTGCTTACACTTCCTCTGCTTGAGCTCCTCTGCTTGTGCTTCCTTTGCTTGTGCTTCCTCTGCTTGCGCTTCCTCTGCTTGTGCTTCCTCTGCTTGCGCTCCTCTGCTTGTGCTTCCTCTGCTTGCGCTTCCTCTGCTAGCGCTTCCTCTGCTTGCGCTCCTCTGCTTGTGCTTCCTCTGCTTGCGCTTCCTCTGCTTGCAATTCCTCTGCTTGCGCTTCCTCAGCTTGTGCTTCCTCTGCTTGCACTTCCTCTGCTTGTGCTTCCTTTGCTTGCGCTTCCTCTGCTTGCGCTTCCTCTGCTTGTGCTTCGTTCTTGTGCTTCCTCTTCTTGTGCTTCCTCTGCTTGTGTTTCCTCTACTTGCGCTTCCTCTGCTTGCGCTTCCTCTGTTGCGATTCCTCTGCTTGCGCTTCCTCTGCTTGCGCTTCATCTGCTTGCGCTTCCTCTACTTGTGCTTCCTCTGCTTGCGCTTCCTCTTCTTGCGCTTCCTCTCCTTGCGCTTCCTCTGCTTGCGCTTCCTCTGCTTGCGCTTCTCTGCTTGTGCTTCCTCTGCTTGCGCTTCCTCTGCTTGCGCTCCTCTGCTTGTGCTTCCTCTGCTTGCGCTTTCTCTGCTTGTGCTTCCTGTGCTTGCGCCTCCTCTGCTTGTGCTTCCTCTGCTTGCGCTTCCTCTGCTTGCACTCTTCTGCTTGTGCTTCCTCAGCTTGTGCTTCCTCTGCTTACGCTTCCTCTGCTTGCGCTTCCTCTACTTGTGCTTCCTCAACTTGCGCTTCGTCTCCTTGTGCTTCCTCTGCTTGCGCTTCCTCTGCTTGCGCTTCCTCTACTTGGGCTTCCTCTGCTTGCGCTTCCTCTGCTTGTGCTTCCTCTGCTTGTGCTTCCTCTGCTTGGGCTCCTCTGCTTGTCCTTCCTATGCTTGTGCTTCCTCTGCTTGCGCTTCCTCTGCTTGTGCTTCTTCTGCTTGCGCTTTCTCTGCTTGTGCTTCCTCTGCTTCCGCTTCCTCTGCTTGTGCTTCCTCTACTTTCGCTTCCTCTGCTTTCGCTACCTCTGCTTGTGCTTCCTATGCTTGTGCTTCCTCTGCTTGTGCTTCCTCTACTTGTGCTTCCTCTGCATGTGCTCCTGCTTGTGCTTCCTCTTCTTGCGCTTCCCTTGCTTGCGCTCCTCTGCTTGCGCTTCCTTTGCTTTGGCTTCCTCTGCTTGTGCTTCCTCTGCTTGTGCTTCCTCTGCTTGTGCTTCCTCTTCTTGCGCTTCCTCTACTTGCGCTCCTCTGCTTGCACTTCCTTTGCTTGCGCCTCCTCTGCTTGTGCTGCCTCAGCTTGTGCTTCCTCCGCTTGTGCTTCCTCTGCTTGTGCTTCCTCTGCTTGCGCTTCCTCTTCTTGCGCTTCCTCTGTTTGCGCTTCCTCTGCTTGCGCTCCTCTTCTTGTGCTTCCTCTGCTAGCGCTTCCTCTGCTTGTGCTTCCTCTACTTGCGCTTCCTCTGCTTGCGCTTCCTCCCTTTGCGCTTCCTCTGCTTGCGCTCCTCTGCTTGTGCTTCCTCTGCTTGTGCTTCGTAATTGTGCTTCCTCTGCTTTCGCTTCCTTTGCTTGTGCTTCCTCTACTTGCGCTTCCTCTGCTTGCGCTTCCTCTTCTTGCGCTTCCTCTGCTTGCACTTCCTCTGCTTACGCTTCCTCTGCATGTGCTTCCTCTTCTTGCGCTTCCTCTGCTTACACTTCCTCTGCTTGAGCTCCTCTGCTTGTGCTTCCTTTGCTTGTGCTTCCTCTGCTTGCGCTTCCTCTGCTTGTGCTGCCTCTACTTGCACTTCCTCTGCTTGTGCTTCCTCTGCTTGCGCTCCTCTTCTTGTGCTTCCTCTACTTGTGCTTCCTCTGCTTGCGCTTCCTCTGCTTGCGCTTCCTCTGCTTGCGCTCCTCTGCTTGTGCTTCCTCTTCTTGTGCTTCCTCTGCTTGCGCTTCCTCTGCTTGTGCTTCCTCTGCTTGCGCTTCCTTCGCTTGCAATTCCTCTGCTTGCGCTTCCTCTGCTTGTGCTTCCTCTGCTTGCACTTTCTCTGCTTGTGCTTCCTTTGCTTGCGCTTCTTCTGCTTGCGCTTCCGCTGCTTGTGCTTCGTTCTTGTGCTTCCTCTTCTTGCGCTTCCTCTGCTTGTGTTTCCTCTACTTGCGCTTCCTCTGCTTGCGCTTCCTCTGTTGCGCTTCCTCTGCTTGCGCTTCCTCTGCTTACGCTTCCTCTGCTTGTGCTTCCTGTGCTTACGCTTCCTCTGCTTACACTTCCTCTACTTGCGCTCCTCTGCTTGTGCTTCCTTTGCTTGTGCTTCCTCTGCTTGCGCTCCTGTGCTTGTGCTTCCTCTACTTGTGCTTCCTCTGCTTGCGCTTCCTGTGCTTGTGCTTCCTCTGCTTGCGCTTCCTCTACTTGTGCTTCCTTGGCTTGCGCTCCTCTGCTTGTGCTTCCTCTGCTTGTGCTTCGTGCTTGTGCTTCCTCTGCTTGTGCTTCCTCTTCTTGCGCTTCCTCTGCTTACGCTTCCTCTGCTTGCGCTTCCTCTGCTTGCGTTTCCTCTGCTTACGCTTCTTCTGCTTGTGCTTCCTCTGCTTGCACTTCCTCTGCTTACACTTCCTTTGCTTGCGCTCCTCTGCTTGTGCTTCCTCTGCTTGTGCTTCCTCTGCTTTTGCTTCCTCTGCTTGTGCTTCCTCTACTTGCGCTTCCTCTGCTTGTGCTTCCTCTGCTTGCGCTTCCTCTGCTTGCGCTACTCTGATTGTGCTTCCTGTGCTTGTGCTTCCTCTGCTTGTTCTTCCTTTGCTTGCGCTTCCTCTGCTTGCGCTCCTGTGCTTGTGGTTCCTCTTCTTGTGCTTCCTTTGCTTGTGCTTCCTCTGCTTGTGCTTCCTCTGCTTGCGCTTCCTCTAGTTGCGCTTCCTCTGCTTGCGCTTCCTCTGCTTGTGCTTCCTCTGCTTGCGCTTCCTCTGCTTGTGCTTCCTCTGCTTGCACTTCCTCTGCTTGCGCTTCCTCTGCTTGTGCTTCGTGCTTGTGCTTCCTCTGCTTGCGCTTCCTCTGCTTGTGCTTCCTCTACTTGCGCTTCCTCTGCTTGCGCTTCCTCTGCTTGCGCTTCCTCTGCTGACGCTTCCTCTGCTTGTGCTTCCTCTTCTTGGGTTTCCTCTGCTTACACTTCCTATGCTTGCGCTCCTCTGCTTGTGCTTCCTTTGCTTGCGCTTCCACTGCTTGCGCTCCTCTGCTTGTGCTTCCTTTGCTGTACTGCCTCTGCTTGGGCTTCCTCTGCTTGCGCTTCCTCTGCTTGCGCTCCTCTGCTTGTGATTCCTCTTCTTGTGCTTCCTCTGCTTGCGCTTCCTCTGCATGTGCTTCACCTGCTTGTGCTTCCTCTGCTTGCGCTTCTTCTGCTTGTGCTTCCATAGCTTGTGCTTCCTCTGCTTGCGCTTCCTTTGCTTGCCCTTCTTTTGCTTGTGCTTCCTCTACTTGCGCTTCCTTTGCTAGTGCTTCCTCTGCTTGCGTTTCCTCTGCTTGCGCTTCCTCTGCTTGCGCTTCCTCTGCTAGTGCTTCCTCTGCTTGCGCTTCCTCTGCTTGCGCTTCCTCTGCTTGTGCTTCCTCTGCTTGCGCTTCCTCTGCTTGCGCTTCCTCTGCTTGTGCTTCCTCTGCTTGCGCTTCCTCTGCTTGTGCTTCCTCTGCTTGCGCTTCCTCTGCTTGCGCTTCGTGTTTGTGCTTCCTCTGCTTGCGCTTCCTCTGCTTGTGCTTCCTCTTCTTGCGCTTCCTCTACTTGCACTTCCTCTGCTTGTGCTTCCTCTGCTTGCGCTTCCTCTGCTTGTGCTTCCTCCGCTTTCGCTTCCTCTTCTTGGGCTTCCTCTGATTGCGCTTCCTCTTCTTGCGCTCCTTTGCTTGTGCTTCCTCTTCTTGTGCTTCCTCTTCTTGCGCTTCCTCTGCTTGTGCTTCCTCTGCTTGCGCTTCCTCTGCTTGTGCTTCCTTTGCTTACGATTCCTCTGCTTGCGCTTCCTCTGCTTGTGCTTCCTCTGCTTGTGCTTCCTCTGCTTGTGCTTCCTCTTTTTGTGCTTCCTGTGCTTGCGCTTCCTGTGCTTGCGCTTCCTCTGGTTGTGACTCCTCTGCTTGCGCTTCCTGTTGTTGTGACTCCTCTTCTTGCGCTTCCTCTGCTTGCGCTTCCTCTGCTTGCGCTTCCTCTACTTGCGCATCATCTGCTTGCGCTTCCTCTGCTTGCGCTTCCTCTACTTGTGCTTCATCTGCTTGCGCTTCCTCTGCTTGTGCTTCCTCTGCTTCCGCTTCCTCTACTTGTGCTTCCTTTGCTTGCGCTTCCTCTGCTTGTGCTTCCTCTGCTTGTGCTTCCTCTGGTTGCGCTTCCTCTGCTTGTGCTTCCTATGCTTGTGCTTCCTCTGCTTGCGCTTCCTCTACTTGTGCTTCCTCTGCTTGTGATTCCTCTGCTTGTGCTTCCTCTGCTTGCGCTTCCTCTGCTTGCGCTCCTGTGCTTGTGCTGCCTCTGCTTGTGCTTGCTTTGCTTGCGCTTCCTCTGCTTGCGCTTCCTCTACATGTGCTTCCTCTGCTTCTGCTTCCTCTTCTTGTGCTTCATCTGCTTGCGCTTCCTCTGCTTGCGCTTCCTCTTCTTGCGCTTCCTCTGCTTGCGCTTCCTCTGCTTGGGCTCCTCTACTTGTGCTTCCTGTGCTTGTGCTTCCTCTGCTTGCGCTTCCTCTGCTGTTGCTTCCTCTGCTTGCGCTTCCTCTGCTTGCGCTTCCTCTGCTGTTGCTTCCTCTGCTTGTGCTTCCTCTTCTTGCGCTTCCTCTGCTTGTGCTTCCTCTTCTTGTGCTTCCTCTGCTTGCGCTTCCTCTGCTTGCGCTTCCTCTTCTTGCGCTTCCTCTGCTTGCGCTTCCTCTGCTTGGGCTCCTCTGCTTGTGCTTCCTGTGCTTGTGCTTCCTCTGCTTGCGCTTCCTATGCTGTTGCTTCCTCTGCTTGCGCTTCTTCTGCTTGCGCTTCCTCTGCTGTTGCTTCCTCTGCTTGTGCTTCCTCTTCTTGCGCTTCCTCTGCTTGTGCTTCATCTCCTTGCGCTTCCTCTGCTTGCGCTTCCTCTGCTTCCGCTCCTTTGCTTGTGCTTCCTCTGCTTGTGCTTTCTCTGCTTGCGCATCTTCTGCTTGTGCTTCCTCTGCTTGCGCTTCCTCTGCTTGTGCTTCCTCTGCTTGCGCTTCCTCTGCTTGCACTTCCTTTGCTTGCGCTTCCTCTGCTTGTGCTTCCTCTGCTTGCGCTTCCTCTGCTCACGCTTCCTCTGCTTGTGCTTCCACTGCTTGCGCTTCCTCTGCTTGCGCTTCCTCTGCTTGTGCTTCCTCTGCTTGCGCTTCCTCTTTTTGTAATTCCTCTGCTTGTGCTTCCTCTGCTTGCGCTTCCTCTGCTTGCACTTCCTCTGCTTGTGCTTCCTCTGCTTGCGCTTCCTCTGCTTGCTCTTCCTCTGCTTGTGCTTCGTCTGCTCGCGCTTCCTCTGCTTGTGCTTTGTCGGAACCTTTCTTCTCCTCTGCCCTCGTGTGTCTGTGCTGTCCTCCAGGCCTCCGTGCTATATCTCATCAGCCCATCAAGTTCCTTAGCTCCCTCCCCAAGCCTTGGGTCTTTGGTTCTGCCTTTCCTACTTGCCCCCTCCTCGGCACTGGTTCCGTCCCTTGTCGCCGATGGACCTCCTGGTAGAAAGGCTGCTCTCCCTTTTCCTTCCTGAGGCTCCTCCTTACTGATGGGGCCATTGTAAGGGGCCTGGCCCGGGCCACGTTCGTTCGATGGTCCCGCTTCTCGTGGCCCTTCTCTCCGACTAGCACCACCACGCCTGAATCCTTCACTTCTTTCACTCTCCACCGCTTGACACTCAGTCCTATGTCCAGCATGTCCTGCCTCGCCTGCTTGACATACACTTCCTCTCCCACCCCCAGCTGTGGCTCCCTTTTCTCTGTCTGCTCTTCTCTCCTCCGTTTGTAGTGCTGGGCATCCCTGAGCTGTGCCACTTGCAGGTTCTCGAGTGCCGCTGGCAGCATCTCCTGCAGGTACCACGCCCGCGCCTCAGCTAGCCCCACCCAAGCCTCCGCTGTGTCGGCCCTGACCACCCCCGTCAAGAGCCGTGGCGCATCAACCGGTAGGATGGGTTCCCTTCCTAGCAGCAGGTAGTAAGGGGAGAAGTCTTTCAGGGCCGCTTGCTTACTGAATCGGTATCCCGCCGCCACCCAGGGTAGCCTTGCATCCCAATCTCGCTTGAACTTCTCTCCGTATGCCCTTAGTCCCTGCTTCATAGTCTGCACAAACCTCTCTGTCAGGCCGTCGCTCTGCGGATGGTACCGTGAGGTCCGCCGGTGAGTAATGCCACTCGCCTTCAGCAACTTCTCAAATTCACCCAAGAACTCAGTGCCTTGGTCCGTCAGTACTTCTCCGCAGGCTCCAAAGCGTGTCAGCACTTGCTCCTCGAATGCCTCGGCTATCTTGGCTGAGCTCTTGCTCGGCAGGGCCTTGACTTCCACCCATTTGCTGCTGTGCTCAATCATTATCAGAATGAACCTCTTCCCCCTTCGGCTGAGCGGCATCTCTCCTGCCAGATCTAGGGACCAACGGAACCCTATTCCCCTGATAGGTAAAGACTGAAGCTCCTCCCTTCCCTTCTCGAGCTCCGCTTTGTTCCGGCTGCATAGCTCGCACGAGCTCACCCAAGCTTTGATGTCTCCTCTCATGCCTGCCCACCACCAGCCTGTCTCTATCAGCTGGCTTGTCCGCAGGCTACCGTAATGCCCCAACTGCCGATGCACCTTCGCGATTATCTACTCCCGCTCTTCTCGCCTAGGGACTAGCTTTCACCCTTCCTTGGTAGTCTTCTGCAGTTGACCTTGGAACCACCGATAATGCAGCCCTCTGGCCCTGGCTCTCTCACTCACTATCTCTGCCTCGGACATCTTTCCCTGGATCCACCGCAGAGTCTCGTCGTCGTCCCAGATGTCGTCAGCTCCTCGTTGTGCCTGCTGCTTTGCTCCTTCTCCGTCAATCTCGCGGGCCATTGCCACCAGGCACGCCTCTGGGCTCGTAGGGGGCGGGTTACGCGAGAGCCCGTCCACGTGCTGCAGCGTTTTCCCTGCTCGGTGCCGAATCGTGAACTCATACTCCTATAGTCTCATCGCCCATCGGGCATTCCTCCCTGTCAGGGCCTGGTTAGTCATCAGCCATGTCAGAGGTTGATGGTCTGTGACTAAGGTGAACGGTCTCCCTTGCAGGTATACCCGGAAATGGGTGATGGCCCACACCGCTGCTAGCCCTTCCCCCTCATAGGAACTGTAATTGGCTTCTGCTGGATTGCAGCTCCTGCTTGCAAACGCCACTACCATCTCCTGTCCTTCCCGTTCTTGGCATAGGATACCTCCCATCCCGGCACTGCTCCAGTCTGTGTAGAGTGTAAAAGGATCCTCTTTGTTGGGCAGAGTGAGCACTGTCCCGGTCTTCACAGCCTTCAGTAGGCCTTTGAATGCCCCCTGCTCCGCCTCCCCCCACTGCCATGGCTGCTCCTCCCTCAACAGCTTATTCAATACCGCTGCTGTGCGACTGAAGTTGGGTACAAACTTGCGGTAGTAGTTGAGGAAGCCTAGCACCGCCCGCAGCGTGCTACGATCCTTGGGGGCGGGGACCCGGTCCAGCACCTCAACTTTCGCCTGTTGGATGCTCAGTCGCCCCCCTTGTACCTCGAACCCTAGATACTTCACCGTACTGTTGCCAAAACTGCACTTCTTCGGATGGCAGGTTAGTCCTGCCTCTCGTATAGCTGCCAGCGTGTCGCTCACGTCCCTCACATGCTGCTCCTCGGAGGCGCTGAACACCACCACGTCGTCTATGTAGCAGGCTGCCACCGGGACATTCCTCAGCACTGAGTCCATCACCCTCTGAAACAAAGCCGGCGCGTTCTTCATGCCGAAGGGCATGAACTTCCGCTCGTGTAATCCGTCCGGCCCATGGAATGCTGTCTTCTTGCGGTCCTCCTCCCGAATAGGTATCTGGTTGAACCCCTGGCAGAGATCCAGCGTGCTGAACACCACTGCCCCTTGCAGCCGATCGAATATCTCCTCTGCGGATTGCATGGGGTACCGATCCGCCACCGTCACTTTGTTAAGCCCTCGGTAGTCCCCACACATCCTCCTGGCTGACACCTCCCTCGTGAGATCTTTCCGTGCAGCCACCACCGTTGCGGCTGCATAGTCACTGTCCGAGTTCTGTATGAGGCCCGCAGCCAACAGCTCGGCACACTTCTCTCTGCATATATCTAGGTCCCCGGGACTCATCCTCCGCTTCCTCTGGTATATGGGTACTTCTGTCGTCAGCTTCACTTGCATCTGATGCGTGTTGCACTGACCCAACTCTTGCAGGGTATAAGCGAACGTCTGGCGGTGCATTCTCAGCACTTCCTGCAGCGCTCGCACCGCTTTTGCCCCCATTCCTGTGCCAATGGGCCAATCGTCATCAGGGCCCCTTTCCTGACTTGGCTTCTCCGCGGGGGCTAGCAGCTCTCCGTCCAGAGGTAGTACCCCTTGATCCGCGCCTCTCTCCGCTATTCCCACGGCCATGTAGGCCCATCCTTCTAAAATCCGCGCCTCTTCTTGTTCTTCTATCGCTTGCAGCTGACGCCGCTTCATCTCGGCCTCCTCCTCCTCCTGGTACAGCTCGCTGACTTCTATGCCGCGTTGCAGCTCCTTCCACTTCAAGTGCATGTGTATAGTCTCCACTAGCCACGTCATGACGTTCAAATCCATAGCTCGGCCCAGCGCTGCCCGTCTCTGGGGCTCCGTCACTCGCGGATAGGCTGTGGCTCCCAGGCTGTGGCCCATGGCTAACTCCCGTTCGGCAGCCGTAGGTTGCTCCCACTGCTTCCCCACTACATCGTAGATCATTCCCGGACCTGGCAAATCCCCCTCCATCACGAACCCGTACGCGTCCACGTAGGACACGAGTGTAGGCAGCGCCTGCCTCGGCTTCCCTGGCACGTTGCACTGATATTGCGACGGATGGTCAGGAGTGGTGACTGGTGCGGGCAGCCGGTTGGGACCCAGGATGTCACTGACCAGCCTGGGTTCGGGCCGTTGCATCTGCGCGAGCGCGTGACGTAGGCTCACGTCCGAGATCCCGTTCTGCCAGTACCTTCTTGGTCGGTGGGCCCTGGACCCCAGCTGCGCTGCATCAACCGCCTGCCCCCTGCCTACGGCCGCCTCCACCTCCGCAAACGCCCTCCTCACGTGTTCCCGGCAATCCTCTGCGAAGTCCACGTTTTCCAGAATATACAACACTTCCCCTTGCCTCGTCTGGACCATTTCCAATACCCGCCTCAGATCCCGGAAAGAGGCCCCCCCGGATATCGTCCATCCCCCACCCCGCTCCTGCGCGCCAGTATCCTTGACATTCCCATCCCGCGATGATGACGTCGATCTGCCCCCACTGCTCCAATCTCTCCATCGTAATGGTCCTCACGTCATCTACCACTTCTTCGTCCTCGGCTGGGATAGCAGACTCCGCTATCTGCTCCGGGTACTCTCCCAGTAGCAGCCGTGCGTGATGCTGAGCCATCCGCCGCACCACTGGGTCTCGTTCCACATGGATCCATTTTCGCACTCTGCATCCCACCTTCAGCACTGCCGCCAACCCGGTAACGATGCCTCCGTAGAGCTCCATCACACACACCGACCCCTCAAGTGTCCATAGCCTGGAGATCCTCTCCTTTAGGGGCGGCGGCTCTCTCCCCTGCTGTCTCCTTTCGATGCGGCGTTCGTACTCCTCTGCATATTTCTCCCAACTCCACTCATCCAGCACAGGGCTCAAGTCAGCACGTCGCGCCCCGTAGGCCTCACGCGGCTCTTGCCTGACGAACTTCACCGGCAAGGTGCCGACCGGGCTGGCCGGATCCCAATAGTGTACTCGGTACAGCACTTTCTCTTGCCAGGTACAAATGGTGGCGCCCACTCGGTACAGCAGGTCCATGCCCAACAGCACGTCGTAATCTTCCGACTCCGACACACCGCAAGTCACGCAGATGCAGCATTCTTTCTCCGTCCCTGGGAGCAGTACGATCTTGATCGGCCTTACGGTCCGCGGCATCCATTTCGGCTCACCCCCTTCAGCGGTCATGAGTAGGATCCCCCTCGGTACCACCCTCCCCGGCAGGTCCAGCTTCAGCTGCTTCGCTAGGCCCCGTCCGATCAACACATTGTGCGCGCCAGTATCTACGATCGCCTGGCCGACGGGCAGCCCCCCTACGATCAGGCTCCCCTTTTCCGCGATCAGCACGGACGCCTGGCACACCAATCGCTCGTTAGGATGGCGGCGCAGCTCCGAGGTACTACTCCCCTCGTGGAAGTTACCTCTCGGTCCTCTCACGCGGCTGGAGCAGCTTTCGGTCGACTGACTTCCCCGAGGCCGAAGGTCTATCTCCCCCCTCTCTCTGGGGAGTGCGGAGATAACTACTACAACGGGAGCTTAGAGTACTGGCTAGGCACGTGTGCTCGTGTGATGTCTGCGTTCGTTGGTCCTTAGACGTTTTCCTAGTGCTCACACTGCTTGCTAGTTTACGGGGCAATTTTGGCAAGAGTTTCACTAGAGAAAGTTGTCAATAATGGTACAATGAAGTTGGCAATGCAAGACTACATCAGAGCTAGCATTCAGGTTGGTCGACTGCCAGCACAGCATGGTCGACCACATTCCAGCAAGACTTGGTCGACCACGCTACAGCAGTGCAAAGTCGACAGCTTGCCAACGCTGCAGGTTGACGGCGTGCCAGCATTGCTCACGCAGGACAGCAGTGCACCCGCTTTGCAGGTGCGCGCAGATGATTGGCATGCAAAGTCTCGTCACCTGCACAGCGCACACACCACGTCAACCTCGGGCTAGCGACTGCCTCTGATCCGCCACGACGACCTCGGAATACCACCATGGAGGTCGGTCTCGCCAACTTCGCCTGGGTGACCGTCGCACTCCTTCGCAGAACCTCGTCACCCAAGTATCCTGGTCGACCGGGCAACTATGTCGACCAGCTGCTCCTGTATGTGCTCGTCGACCTCCCAAGTCGACAACCACACCAGGTCGACATCACCAGGTCGACCACTCCTCCGGTCGACCAGATCCAGGTCGACGTCACTCCTGGTCGACCAGTGCAGTTGTCAGCTACCCAAGTCGGCGTCACCAAGTCGACGCCCCTTCTACGTCGGCGCCGACTTCCAGACTGACCTCTTGAAGTTGGCGACCTTGCAAGTCGGCTGTACCTTCCGTACACCCCACCACGAAGTCGGCTCCGCCCAAGCGTGGACGGGGCCAACACACAACTCCCGTTGACAGGGAGCGCCATGAAGCCACTTGCCGTCAGGTACTCGGATTCTCCTTCCTCGTCCTCAGCAATCTCTTCGTATGCGAGCATCGCCCGAGTTTTCGGCTTGATTCTCGACTTGGCTTCCAACTTCAATTGCAGCTTCTTAATCTCCGCTTGCAACTCCTCCTTGCTCGGGTTCTCTTCCGAGCGGCGGCGGCTGTAGCAGGCGTCCTCTTTATGCCCTCTCTTCCCGCAGTTCCCGCACACCGGCAGCTTCGGGCAGTCGCGCTTTAGATGACCCAGTTCTCCGCATTCGTGACACCGCCGTCCATCTGTCCGGGGCGCTCCTCCCTGCGCCGTCTCCACCAACGCTACCGCCGCCCACGAGGACTTCGCTTTGGGACGGGTCTCTCCATCCTCCAAATCCAGCATCCGTTGCGCGTGCTCCGTACGTTTTGCCAGTCCATACACTTCCTTCTGTGTAATCTCCGCGCCGATGCCATATACCGTGTTCCGCACCACGTTCCGCAGGTCTTCCTCCAAGCCCCTGACGAACTTGCGTACGAGCAGTCGTTCGTCGCTACTCTCCAGGTCTTCAGCGAGCTCCCTCAGCCTCCAATAGTAGGCCAGCGGGGATTCCTCTCTTCCCCGGCGGAACTCGCGGAACTCTTCCACCCTCGCTTTGGTCTGGCCCAGGAACTCCTTCTTTAGTAGTTCGATGAAGCGCGTGGTCGGGTTGACTGTCTCCCCGCATTCCCATTCCTCGAGCACTTCACTCCGGGTCATCCGGTAAAAAGTCTCCGCTTCGCCCGCCAATGTCACTACCATCCGTCTGAAGAACTCGGCAGGGTCCAGTCCGTCCCGTTCCCAGCAGTACTGCACCGTCTCGAGCTGCATCAAGTAGTTCTTCAAGGTAGGGCCCACTCCGGGAATCCCTGTGAATCGCTCGGCCACTTCTAATTTTGGGAGAGCGCCGCCCTGCCACCTTTTTTCATTCGGACGGGGAGGGAGCGCCACAGCCGCTGGTACCTCCGCTGACCGACTAGCCACGATTTCCTGATTCGGCGGCGTCTGAAACCCGCTTTCTGGCTGGCGGCGTAGCCAAGGCGCGTGCACCGGCGTCCTGTCTGTCTCTATCCCCTGCATCTCTCTAGGGGAAGTGACCTCGGGCCTCCGCTCCCATCGCGCCCGTGCTTCACGTGCCCATCGCATATCGTGGGGCGTTTCTCCTGGGTCTGAATCGACGGAGCGCCGCGGCTCCATCTCCTCTTGTCTGTCCCGTTCACGTTGATGCGGGGTGCGATAGGCCGCAGTTCTTGGCAGTGACGAGCGCGTCGCTTCGGTCGCAGTTTCTCCTTCCCGGATGGTGGTGGTAGCGGCGCGCCAGCTTGGCTCCGCGAGAGGCGCTTCTCTACGATAGTTCTGTCCAGATCACAGTTTAAACCTATCGGTCATACTAACTCCGTGGCGAAAGCGGGTCGCTTTCTTGCTTGTTTGTTGAAAGTTCCTAGCCTCTAGATCTTGGCTAGGAAAACTTAACTCGGCTGACTGACGATCAAACCCCTTTTGCAACAATTCACTGGCCTTGCTGTGGTTGGCTCCTCTACGAAAGCAGCAATATGGAGTATCAAATCTTTGGCTAAGAGTGGAAACAAACAAGCAAGCAATTGAACCTACTTCGGTTGCTTGCCTAAGTAGTAGGACCGAGTTACCGTTGCTTCACAACGGATACCCGCTTTCACTACGTCTCCTCGTTTCCCCCGCCTTGATTGCGCGGGGTTCCTTTAACTCATTTGTAGCTCTACTCACTACTGTAATCTGTCATGGTTTTATATTGTCCCTGCCTACGCTATTTAGCAATTAAAAACATGACAGCTTCCTCTGCTTACGCTTCCTCTTCTTGCGCTTCTTCTGCTTGTGCTTCCTCTGCTTGCGCTTCCTCTGCTTGCGCTCCTCTGCTTGTGCTTCCTCTGCTTATGCTTCCTCTACTTGTGCTTCCTCTGCCTGTGCTTCCTCTGCTTGCGCTTCCTCTACTTGTGCTTTCTCTGCTTACGCTTCCTCCGCTTGAGCTTCCTCTGCTTGTGCTTCCTCTACTTGTGCTTCCTCTGCTTGTGCTTCCTCTGCTTGTGCTTCTTTGCTTGCGTTTCCTCAGCTTGTGCTTCTTCTGCTTGCGCTTCCTTTGCTCGTGCTTCCTATTCTTGTGCTTGCTGTGCTTGTGCTTCCTCTGCTTGTGCTTCCTCTGCATGTGCTTCCTCTACTTGTGCTTCCTCTGCTTGTGCTTCTTCTGCTTGCGCTTCCTCTGCTTGTGCTTCCTCTGCTTGTGCTTCCTCTACTTGTGCTTCCTCTGCTTGCGCTTCCTCTGATTGCGCTCCTCTCCTTGTGCTTCCAATGCTTCTGCTTCCTCTACTTGCGCTTCCTCTGCTTGCGCTTCCTCTGCGTGTGCTTTTTTGCTTGTGCTTCATCTGCTTGTGCTCCTTTGCCTGTGCTTCCTCTGCTTGTGCTTCCTTTGCTTGCGCATCTTCTGCTTGTGCTTCCTCTGCTTGCGCTTCCTCTGCTTGTGCTTCCTCTGCTTGCGCTTCCTCTGCTTGCACTTCCTTTGCTTGCGCTTCCTATGCTTGTGCTTCCCCGGCTTGCGCTTCCTCTGCTCGCGCTTCCTCTACTTGTGCTTCCACTGCTTGCGCTTCCTCTGCTTGCGCTTCCTCTGCTTGTGCTTCCTCAGCTTGCGCTTCCTCTTTTTGTGCTTCCTCTGCTTCTGCTTCCTGTGCTTGCACTTCCTCTGCTTGTGCTTCCTCTGCTTGCGCTTCCTGTGCTTGCTCTTCCCCTGCTTGTGCTTCGTCTGCTTGCGCTTCCTCTACTTGTGCTTCGTCTCCTTAGGCTTCCTCTTCTTGAGCTTCTTCAGCTTGTGCTTCCTCTGCTTGCGCTTCCACTGCTTGCGCTTCCTCTGCTTGCGCTCCTCTGCTTGTGCTTCCTCTGCTTGTGGTTCCTCTGCTTGCGCTTCCTCTGCTTGTGCTTCCTCTGCTTGCGCTTCCTCTACTTGTGCTTCCTCTGCTTACGCTTCCTCTGCTTGAGCTTCCTCTACTTGTGCTTCCTCTGCTTGTGCTTCCTCTGCTTATGCTTCTCTGCTTGTGCTTCCTTTGCTTGCGTTTCCTCTGCTTGTGCTTCTTCTACTTGCACTTCCTTTGCTTGTGCTTCCTCTGCTTGTGCTTCCTCTGCTTGTGCTTCCTCTGCTTGTGGTTCCTCTGCTTGCGCTTCCTCTGCTTGCGCTTCCTCTGCTTGTGCTTCCTTGCTTGTGCTTCCTCTGCTTGCGCTTCCTCTGGTTGCGCTTCTTCTGCTTGTGCTTCCTCTACTTGCGCTTTCTCGGCTTGTGCTTCCTCTGCTTGCGTTTCCTCAGCTTGCACTTCCTCTGCTTGCGCTCCTCTGCTTTTGCTTCCTCTGCTTGTGCTTCCTCTGCTTGTGCTTCCTCCGCTTGCGCTTCCTGTGCTTGTGCTTCCTCTGCTTGTGCTCCCTCTTCTTGCGCTTCCTCTGCTTGTGCTTCCTCTGCTTGTGCTTCCTCTGCTTGTGCTTCCTCTGCTTACGCTTCCTCTGCTTGCGCTTCATCTGCTCGCGCTTCCTTTGCTTGTGCTTCCTCTGCTTGAGCTTCCTCTGCTTGTGCTTCCTCTGCATGCGCTTTCTGTGCTTGCGCTTCCTCTGGTTGTGACTCCTCTACTTGCGCTTCCTCTTGTTGCGCATCCTCTGCTTGCGCTTCCTCTGCTTGCGCATCCTCTGCTTGCGCTTCCTCTGCTTGCGCTTCCTATGCTTGGGCTCCTCTGCTCGTGCTTCCTTTGCTTGTGCTTCCTCTGCTTGCACTTCTTCTGCTGTTGCTTCCTCTGCTTGTGCTTCCTCTTCTTGCGCTTCCTCTGCTTGTGCTTCCTCTGCTTGCGCTTCCTCTGCTTGCGCTTCCTCTGCTTGCGCTCCTTTGCTTGTGCTTCCTCTGCTTGCGCTTCCTCTGCTTGCGCTTCCTCTGCTTGTGTTTCCTCCGCTTGAGCTTCCTCTGCTTGTGCTTCCTCTGCTTGTGCTTCCTTTGCTTGTGCTTCCTCTGCTTGTGCTTCCTTTGCTTGCGTTTCCTCTGCTTGTGCTTCTTTTGCTTGCGCTTCCTTTGCTTGTGCTTCCTTTGCTTGTGCTTCCTCTGCTTGTGCTTCCTTTGCTTGCGCTTCTTCTGCTTGTGCTTCCTCTGCTTGCGTTCCTCTGCTTGTGCTTCCTCTGCTTGCGCTTCCTCTGCTCGCGCTTCCTCTATTTGTGCTTCCACTGCTTGCGCTTCCTTTGCTTGCGCTTCCTCTGCTTGCACTTCCTCTGCTTGTGCTTCCTCTGCTTGCGCTTCCTCTGCTTGCTCTTCCTCTGCTTGTGCATTGTCTGCTTGCGCTTCCTCTACATGTGCTTCGTCTGCTTACGCTTCCTCTTCTTGCGCTTCTTCTGCTTGTGCTTCCTCTGCTTGCGCTTCCATTGCTTGCGCTTCCTCTGCTTGCGCTCCTCTGCTTGTGCTTCCTCTGCTTGTGCTTCCTCTGCTTGCGCTTCATCTGCTTTTGCTCCTTTGCCTGTGCTTCCTCTGCTTGTGCTTCCTTTGCTTGCGCATCTTCTGCTTGTGCTTCCTCTGCTTGCGCTTCCTCTGCTTGTGCTTCCTCTGCTTGCGCTTCCTCTGCTTGCAGTTCCTTTGCTTGCGCTTCCTCTGCTTGTGCTTCCCCGGCTTGCGCTTCCTCTGCTCGCACTTCCTCTACTTGTGCTTCCACTGCTTGCGCTTCCTCTGCTTGCGCTTCCTATGCTTGTGCTTCCTCTGCTTGCGCTTCCTCTTTTTGTGCTTCCTGTGCTTCTGATTCCTTTGCTTGCGCTTCCTCTGCTTGCACTTCCTCTGCTTGTGCTTACTCTGCTTGCGCTTCCTCTGCTTGCTCTTCCTCTGCTTGTGCTTCGTCTGCTTGCGCTTCCTCTACTTGTGCTTCATCTGCTTACACTTCCTCTTCTTGCGCTTCTTCTGCTTGTGCTTCCTCTGCTTGCGCTTCCACTGCTTGCGCTTCCTCTGCTTGCGCTTCTCTGCTTGTGCTTCCTCTGCTTGTGCTTCCTCTCCTTGCGCTTCCTCTGCTTGTGCTTCCTCTGCTTGCGCTTCCTCTACTTGTGCTTCCTCTGCTTACGCTTCCTCTGCTTGAGCTTCCTCAACTTTTGCTTCCTCTGCTTGCGCTTCCTCTGCTTGTGCTTCCTCTGCTTGTGCTTCCTTTGCTTGCGTTTCCTCTGCTTGTGCTTCTTCTGCTTGCACTTCCTTTGCTTGTGCTTCCTCTGCTTATTCTTCCTCTGCTTGTGCTTCCTCTGCTTGCGCTTCCTCTGCTTGCACTTCCTCTGCTTGTGCTTCCTCTGCTTGCGCTTCCTCTGCTTGCTCTTCCTCTGCTTGTGCTTTGTCTGCTTGCGCTTCCTCTTCTTGTGCTTCGTCTGCTTACGCTTCCTCTTCTTGCGCTTCTTCTGCTTGTGCTTCCTCTGCTTGCGCTTCCATTGCTTGCGCTTCCTCTGCTTGCGCTCCTCTGCTTGTGCTTCCTCTGCTTGTGCTTCCTCTGCTTGCGCTTCATCTGCTTGTGCTCCTTTGCCTGTGCTTCCTCTGCTTGTGCTTCCTTTGCTTGCGCATCTTCTGCTTGTGCTTCCTCTGCTTGCGCTTCCTCTGCTTGTGCTTCCTCTGCTTGCGCTTCCTCTGCTTGCGCTTCCTCTGCTTGTGCTTCCTTGTTTGTGCTTCCTCTGCTTGCGCTTCCTCTGCTTGCGCTTCTTCTGCTTGTGCTTCCTCTACATGCGCTTCCTCTGCTTGTGCTTCCTCTGCTTGCGTTTCCTCAGCTTGCTCTTCCTCTGCTTGCGCTCCTCTGCTTTTGCTTCATCTGCTTGTGCTTCCTCTACTTGCGCTTCCTCTGCTTGTGCTTCCTCCGCTTGCGCCTCCTCTGCTTGTGCTTCCTCTGCTTGCGCTTCCTCTGCTTGCGCTCCTCTGCTTGTGCTTCCTCTGCTTGTGCTTCCTCTTCTTGCACTTCCTCTGCTTGTGCTTCCTCTGCTTGCGCTTCCTCTGCTTGTGCTTCCTCTGCTTACGCTTCCTCTGCTTGCGCTTCGTGTGCTCCCGCTTCCTCTGCTTGTGCTTCCTCTGCTTGTGCTTCCTCTGCTTGTGCTTCCTCTGCATGCGCTTTCTCTGCTTGCGCTTCCTCTGGTTGTGACTCCTCTACTTGCGCTTCCTCTGCTTGCGCTTCCTCTGCTTGCGCTTCCTCTGCTTGCGCATCCTCTGCTTGCGCTTCCTCTGCTTGCGCTTCCTCTGCTTGCGCTTCCTTTGCTTGTGCTTCCTCTGCTTGTGCTTCCTCTGCTTGTGCTTCCTCTTCTTGTGCTTCCTCTGCATGTGCTTCCTCTACTTGTGCTTCCTCTGCTTGTGCTTCCTCTGCTTGCGCTTCCTCTGCTTGTGCTTCCCCTGCTTATGCTTCCTCTACTTGTGCTCCCTCTGCTTGCGCTTCCTCTGCTTGCGCTCCTCTCCTTGTGCTTCCTCTTCTTGTGCTTCCTCTGCTTGTGCTTCCTCTGCTTGTGCTTCCTCTGCTTCCGCTTCCTCTTCTTGTGCTTCCTCTGCTTGCACTTCCTCTGCTTGTGCTTCCTCTGCTTGTGCTTCCTCTGCTTGCGTTTCCTCTGCATGTGCTTCCTCTGCTTGTGATTCGTCTGCTTGTGCTTCTTCTGCTTGTGCTTCCTCTGCTTGTGCTTCCTCTGCTTGTGATTCCTCTGCTTGTGCTTCCTCTGCTTGTGATTCCTCTAATTGCGCTTCCTCTGCTTGCGCTCCCGTGCTTGTGCTTCCTCTGCATGTGCTTCCTCTGCTTGTGCTTTCTCTTCTTGTGCTTCCTCTGCTTGCGCTTCCTCTGCTTGCGCTTCCTCTGCTTGCGCTTCCTCTGCTTGCGCTTCCTCCGCTTGGGCTCCTCTGCTTGTGCTTCCTCTGCTTGTGCTTCCTCTGCTTGCACTTCTTCTGCTGTTGCTTCCTCAGCTTGTGCTTCCTCTTCTTGCGCTTCCTCTGCTTGTGCTTCCTCTGCTTGCGCTTCCTCTGCTTGCGCTTCCTCTGCTTGCGCTCCTCTGCTTGTGCTTCCTCTGCTTGCGCTTCCTCTTCTTGCGCTTCCTCTGCTTGTGCTTCCTCTGCTTGCGCTTCCTCTACTTGTGCTTCCTCTGCTTACGCTTCCTCCGCTTGAGCTTCCTCTGCTTGTGCTTCCTCTGCTTGTGCTTCCTTTGCTTGTGCTTCCTCTGCTTGTGCTTCCTTTGCTTGCGTTTCCTCTGCTTGTGCTTCTTTTGCTTGTGCTTCCTTTGCTTGCGAATCTTCTGCTTGTGCTTCCTCTGCTTGCGCTTCCTCTGCTTGTGCTTCCTCTGCTTGCGCTTCCTCAGCTTGTGCTTCCTCTGCTTGTGCTTCCTCTGCTTACACTTCCTCTGCTTGCGCTCCTCTGCTTTTGCTTCCTTTGCTTGTGCTTCCTCTGCCTGCACTTCCTCTGCTTGTGCTTCCTCTACTTGCGCTTCCTCAGCTTATACTTCCTCTGCTTGAGCTTCCTCTGCTTGTGCTCCTCTCTTTGTGCCTCCTCTGCTTGTGCTTCCTTTGCTTCCGCTTCCTCTGCTTGCGCTTCCTCTGCTTGTGCTTCCTCTTCTTGTGCTTCCTCTGCCTGAGCTTCCTCTGCTTGTGCTTCCTCTGCTTGTGCTTCCTCTGCTTGTGCTTCCTCTGCTTTTGCTTCCTCTGCTTGCGCTTCCTCTGCTTGTGCTTCCTCCGCTTGCGCTTCCTTATCTTGCGCTTCCTCTACTTGCGCTTCCTCTGCTTGTGCTTAGTCTCCTTACACTTCCTCTGCTTGCGCTTCCTCTGCTTTTGCTTCCTCTGCTTGTGCTTCCTCTACTTGTGCTGCCTCTGCTTGTGCTTCCTTTGCTTGTGCTTCCTCTACTTGCGCTTCCTCTGCTTGTGCTTCCTGTGCTTGTGCTTCCTGTGCCTGCGCTTCCTCTGCTTGTTTCCTCTACTTACGCTTCCTCTGCTTATGCTTACTTTGCTTGAGCTTCCTCTGCTTGTGCTCCTCTGCTTGTGCCTCCTCTGCTTGTGCTTCCTTTGCTTGCGCTTCCTCTGCTTGCACTTCCTCTCCTTGTGCTTCCTCTTCTTATGCTTCCTCTGCTTGAGCTTCCTCTGCTTGTGCTTCCTTTGCTTGTGCTTCCTCTGCTTGCGCTTCCTCTGCTTGTGCTTCTTCCACTTGCGCTTCCTCTTCTTGCGCTTCCTTTACTTGCGCTTCCTCTGCTTGTGCTCCCTCTCCTTACACTTCCTCTGCTCGTGCTTCCTCTGCTTGTGCTTCCTCTGCTTGTGCTTCCTCTACTTGTGCTTCCTCTGCTTGTGCTTCCTCTGCTTGTGCTTCCTTTGCTTGCGCTTCCTCTGCTTGTGCTTCCCCTACTTGTGCTTCCTCTGCTTACACTTCCTCTGCTTGCGCTCCTCTGCTAGTGCTTCCTCTACTTGCGCTTCCTCTTCTTATGCTTCCTCTGCTTGAGCTTTCTCTACTTGTGCTCCTCTACTTGTGCCTCGTCTGCTTGTGTTTCCTTTGCTTGCGCTTCCTCTGCTTGCCCTTCCTCTACTTGTGCTTCCTCTTCTTGTGCTTCCTCTGCTTGAGCTTCCTCTGCTTGTGCTTCCTCTCCTTGTGCTTCCTTTGCTTGCGCTTCCTTTGCTTGTGCTTCCTCTGCTTGTGCTTCCTTTGCTTGAGCTTCCTCTGCTTTTGCTTCCTCTGCTTGCGCTTCCTCTGTTTGCTCTCCTCTGCTTGTGCTTTGTCTTCTTGTGCTTCCTCTGCTTGCGCTTCCTCTGCTTGCGCTTCCTCTGCTTACGCTTCCTCTGCTTGCGCTTCCTCTGCTTGCGCTTCCTCTGCTTACACTTCCTCTGCTTGCGCTCCTCTGCTTGTGCTTCCTCTGCTTGTTCTTCCTCTGCTTGCGCTTCCTTTTCTTGTGATTCCTCTGCTTGCGCTTCCTCTGCTTGTGCTTCCTGTGCTTGCACTTCCTCAGCTTGCGCTCCTCTGCTTGTGCTTCCTCTGCTAGTGCTTCCTCTCCTTGCGCTTCCTCTGCTTGCGCTTCCTCTGCTTGCGCTCCTCTGCTTGTGCTTCCCCTGCTTGTGCTTTGTCTGCTTGCGCTTCCTCTGCTTGTGATTCCTCTGCTTGCGCTTCCTCTGCTTCTGCTTCCTCTGCTTGTGCTTCCTCTGCTTGTGCTTCCTCTGCTTGCGCTTCCTCTGCTTGTGCTTCCTACGCTTGCCCTTCCTCTTCTTGCGCTTCCTCTACTTGCGCTTCCTCTGCTTGTGCTTACTTTCCTTACGCTTCCTCTGCTTGCGCTTCCTCTGCTTGTTCTTTCTCTGCATGTGCTTCCTCTACTTGTGCTTCCTCTGCTTGTGCTTCCTCTGCTTGTGCTTCCTCTGCTTGCGCTTCCTCTACTTGTGCTTCCTCTGCTTGTGCTTCCTCTGCTTACACTTCCTCTGCTTGTGCTCCTCTGCTTGTGCTTCCTCTGCTTGTGCTTTCTCTGCCTGCGCTTCCTCTGCTTGTGCTTCCTCTACTTGCGCTTCCTATGTTTATGCTTCCTCTGCTTGAGCTTCCTCTGCTTGTGCTCCTCTTCATGTGCCTCCTCTGCTTGTGCTTCCTTTGCTTGCGCTTCCTCTGCTTGCGCTTCCTCTGCTTGTGCTTCCTCTGCTTGTGCTTCCTCTGCTTGAGCTTCCTCTGCTTGTGCTTCCTATGCTTGTGCTTCTTCTGCTTGCTCTTCCTCTGCTTGTGCTTCCTCTGCTTGTGCTTCCTTTGCTTGAGCTTCCTCTGCTTTTGCTTCCTCTGCTTGCGCTTCCTCTGCTTGCGCTCCTCTGCTTGTGCTTCGTCTGCTTGTGCTTCCTCTGCTAGCGCTTTCTCTTCTTGCGCTTCCTCTGCTTATGCTTTCTCTGCTTGCGCTTCCTCTCCTTGCGCTTCCTCTGCTTACACTTCCTCTGCTTGCGCTCCTCTGCTTGTGCTTCCTCTGCTTGTGCTTCCTCTGTGTTGGTGGAACCCTACGGTTTGCACTCGGCTTGTTGTCTGTGTGCGTGCATGTGTGTGTGTATGGAATGGTATGAGGGCATGGGATAATATATATTTCATGCTTATAATTGTGTGTGAATGTTGAGTCATGATGTCGAGTGTGTGTGTCGAGTCAATAGCGAGTTATCGCTAGACGCGTGTTACGCGGTCGTTTGTGTCTCGCGCGCGGTTTCTATTTTTGTCGTGCGCGGTTTCTATTTTGTCCTGTGTCGAACGTTTGGCGTGTCGCAGGTGTGTGCAGCAGACCCATCAAGAACTCAAGGATGAGTTTGTGATGAAGAGCCCGAGCCTTGGTGTCAAGCTTCAAGTGATTTCGAAGCTCGCCAAAAGGGTACACCTCAAGATATTGAAGATAGTTACATTACTTTGTGTAGTGTAACATTTCACTTGGTGTAGGCCCTAGTGAAGGGTAGTTTCGAGACCCTTCGTGGTTGGGGACAGTGTGGCACTGTTCCACATCACTGTACCTCGGCTCTTGGGGTTTGTAGGAGCTAGGAGTCATTCCCAACTCGTAACTCTTCATATCTCTTCCTATTTTGTGTTCTAAGACTATAGTGGCTGCCATAGTGCCGTTCGTTCAAACCGACACTGTGTCGTCAATACTTGGTGAAATTGTGCGATCAAAATTGCCTATTGTAGGCGACGTTTAGACGCTCCAGATACAAGTTGAATCAGGTCATTTTAAGCTGTGACCAGAACGCTATGAACGTTTGAAGCTGCTGTGCAGAAATCCGGCTGTGCACTCTATCTTTCGTTTTAGGCACATTGGAGCCTATTGTGACTATAAAAAGTGGTATCAGAGCCCCTTGGAGCAGTTTCGACAATGGCTGGACCTGAGGATAGGGGTGGCAGAGGTGCTGGTGGCAGAGGAGAAGCCCAAGCTCAAGGCCAACCCCGTGATTCAGCCATGGCACCTGTACAATCAAGTGTTGGCCCATCTAGGGATGAGCCTAGAGTGTTTGGCCTTGACAAGTTCAATGGTGACAACTTTGCTGAGTGGTCCTTCAGAATGGAGAACATATTTGACCACTATGACCTGCTGGAGGTAATGGAAGGAACGGAGAAGCGTCCCGAGAACGACCCGGAGAAGAGCCCGTGGGTGCGGAAGAGCGCACAAGGCTACCTCCTACTTGGGCAAGCGTTGGGGAGCAGCCAAATCCGTCACATCAAGCCTTTCCAGCGTGAACCAGAGAAGGGACCAAAGGCATGGGCTGCTCTCAAGGGTGTACACGCTCCTGCAACAGCGGCGGTAGCTGTGGTGTTGGAACGGCAAATGGCGACACTACGAATTGAAGAGGATGAAGCGGTTGAAGAAGGGGTGCAGAAATTCTTCGACTTGTTGACGCGGCTTGAGGGAGCTGATTTGAACTATAGTGAGCTCCAAAAGAAGACCAAGTTGCTGGCCCTACTCCCTGAGTCATGGTCCTCGCTCATCATCAACCTTAATCGCGACTTGCCCCGCCTCTCGCTTGAAGACGTGAAGCGAGCTATCCTTCAAGAGGATTTCTGCCGCCGTGAGTTGGCGAGTGCGGATGGCGCTGGGGCAGCGAGCATCGGCCGTGGATATGGTCGAGGAAGAGGTAGAGGACGAGGGGGAGGAAGGTTTGGTGGCAGCAACTTCGGCGGAGGCCGCGGGAGTAGCGGTTACGGCAGCGACAACAAGAGCTACGGACGCGGTCGCGGCCGATTCCACGGCGAGTGTCACTATTGCCACAAGAGCGGACACATGTGGCGCGACTGCTACAAACTCCCTGATGGTTGGACCCCTGCTCAAGGCCAAGAGGGTAGAGGAGCAGGAGGAGGGAGAGGAAGAGGCCGTGGAGGCCGTGGCGGTCGCGGTGGCGGAGCTGCAAACATGAAGAGCGGAGACAACGACAAGGACCCGAGCAACGATCGGTACCCGGGTCTATTCTACTTCGTGTCGACGCAAGTACCGACTGGTCCAGAGAAGGATGAAGGCTTTGAGGAGCCAGCAGCTGTGGGGAAGGTGACTCTACACCCTCTGGACTATTGGGTGATCGATAGTGGCGCTACCTATAGCATGACACCTCGCCCGGACTTGCTCACCGAACTCGAACTGTCACCGGTGAAGCATGTTACATCAGCTTTGGGACAGCGAGCGGAGGTGAAAGGCATGGGCAAGGCCATGTTTAAGGGTGCTGATGGGAAGATGGTGGGCCTCAAGAATGTGCTTTGGGTGCCCAGCCTTGCTGCCAACCTGATTTCCGTGCGGCGGTTGGCAAAGGCCGGCATGGACACGAACTCAAAGGGAGCCAAGACCTACACCGCAAGGCTTGGCGATCGGATTCTTTGGGACCTTCATGAGGACAGAGATGTCTACAACGAGATGTGGCAGATCCCTGTGGACCCTATGCCTAAGGAGAGGCAAGTGGCAGCAAGCGTCAGCACCAAAGGTGGAGCGGTTGGTAGCGGCGATTGCGCGGACGGTCGCGCTAAGGAGAAGGAGTCCAAGAAGTGCAATCTTGGAGGGACCAGCAAGCTTGGTGAACCTATGGAGAGAGGTGCAGCAGCCAAGGAGCAGCAAAAGGGTGAGGAGAACCCCGAGGCAGCAGCGGAGGAGGACTACGGAGAGAGTATGTGGGGCGCTATTGCGAGCGCGGCATTCTCCAATCCAACTTCGGCTACGGGGGAGTGTGATTGGCTCACCTTGCATCGGCGCATGGGGCATGTGGCCCTGCCCATCTTGCAGCAGCTATTAAAGAATGAGATGGTTGCTGGCATACGTGTGAAGGGGGAGCCCGATGAGGTACTTGGCTGCCCGACGTGCATGCAAGCCAAGCTCACCCGTTTCCCATTCTCTAGTTCAAAGGCAACGGCTAAGGCACCACTTGATGAGGTGGTGATGGACGTGGTGGGCCCCCTGAAGCTTGGAGCTGCTGGAGCTGAGTACTTCCTCACTATTGTGGACGTCTACACCCGTATGACTTGGGTGTACGTGCTGGCCAAGAAGAGCGACGTGGCTGAAACGTTGAAGGCGGATTGGTTCCCGATGGTGGAGCGGCAACAAGACCGTCTAGTCAAGTCAATCCGCACCGATCGAGGGGGAGAGTTCCTGAGCAAGGAGTTTGGGTTGTGGCTGAAGAAGAGTGGTATTCGGCACTCCCTCACCATGCCATACTCCCCTGCAATGAACGGCATCGCCGAGCGAGCGAACCGCACAATCACGGAGGCGGCACGCGGGTTGCTCATTGAAGCCGGGCTACCCGACTATTTCTGGCCTGATGCGGTGCGGAGCGCGTGTGTGGCCAAGAACCGAGCCTTGACTCATGTGGGAGCAGATAAATGGGTGCCCTATGTGGAGTGGCTAGGAAGGAAGCCAAAGGTGGATATGCTTCGGGTGTTCGGGTGCATGTGCACGGCGCTCGTGCCTAAGCATCTTCGGCACAACAAGCTTGGTGCCAAGGCGGTGTGGGCCGTGCACTTGGGCATGGCTCAAAACAGCAAGAGATGGCTTCTTTGGGACCTATTCACCAAGAAGTTCTTGGTGAGCAGGGACTGCAAGTTCATGGAGAACTTCATATACAAAGATTGGAAGGCGGAGAATGAGGCGAAGATAGGCGTGCAGTTTGGGGAGGTGAAGAGTTTCGGTTTGGAGCATGTGGAGCTGCCTTTGGAGCTGAGCAGCGGCAGCACAACCACAAGGCAATCCTCCTTTGTGAATGGGCAAGAGGAGGCCAATGATGCAGAGGAAGAAGAGGAGGAGGTGCAGCAAGTGAGCGAGAGTGCACCGTCACTCCCTTCCCGCACTACAAGTGCTCCACGGATTCGAGCCACACCGCAGCAACGCCAAGGCCTTCAAGTCCCTGCAGATGAGGAGGAAGGAAGGGGGAAGAGAAGAGTTCAACCCCCTAATAGGCTGACCTATGATGCGCCGGGAAAGCAGGGCAAGACAGCCCTGGCCGGAGCGGCAATGATGGTCGGAGACGACGAGGAGAGTGACTACGAGGAGTGTGCCTTCGCGTTCTTCTCTCCGGTGGAGATGCCGGGAGAACCAGCAACTCTCAAGGAGGCTTTGGAGAGTAGTGATGCTGAGGAGTGGAAGAAGGCCATGGAGAGTGAGCTGAAGAGCATCAAGGAGAATGACACGTTTGAATTGGTGGAGCTACCGGAGGGGCGTACGGCGATAACGTCCAAGTGGCTCTTCAAAATCAAGTCGGATGCCGACGGCAAGATCGAGCGCTACAAGTCTAGGCTTGTAGTCAACGGGTACCAGCAGAAGGAGAAGGTGGACTTCAAGGAGCTGTTTGCCCCTGTGGTGAAGCCGACGACGCTGCGAACCCTATTCGCGGGAGCCGCCATCAAAGGATGGGTAGTAAAACAAATGGACATCGTAACGGCATTCCTTAACGGCATCCTTGAGGAGGAGATTTTTATGGCGCAGCCAGAGGGGTTTGATGATGGTAGTGGCAGAGTGTGAAAGCTGAAGAAGGCCCTCTATGGGCTGAAGCAGGCCCCTAGGCAATGGTACATGAAGCTGCACGAAGTGTTGGAGGGGATCGGCTTCACTCCCTCAACGGCCGATCACTCCTTGTTCATGCTTGGCGAGGGGGAGCAGAGGAGCTTCATGGTGGTTTATGTGGATGACATTATTATATTAAACACCCGACCGGACGTCGCGTTTGCTACCGGGCAGCTGGCTAGGGTTGTGCAATGCCCTAATGAGGAGTAGGTAGCAGCTGGAATGAGGGTGGCCAAGTATCTTGGCCAGACACCGACCGTTGGGCTGCAATACTCGGCGGCGGCACAAAGGCGCCAAAAGGGCGCGGATGGTGTTGAACCCGGGCATTTGTTCCTCACCGCCTACTCGG